GTGAGAAAGGGTGATGGCGCTGACTCCTCCTTTGGGGTGACTGTCGAAGATGGTGTGGACTGGAATCCTGAAGAACAAGAGGTCTGCAGCTGTTTGGGGACCTGTGGCTGAGTGGATTTTGTGGGTGCCAACTTAAGCATCTGAACCGGAAGGAGGACTCGGTAGAGCTACTGGAGTAGGTCTGGAGACTTCCAGATATTTACATAGTCCTACATACCTGAACAAGATTAGTTGAACACTGATGATGTAACCTAGTTGGGTCATGAAAGGTCTACAAGCCAACTACCAAGCTCAGAGAGCACCAAGGACCCAACAGTCCTCCTCTTCCTCTTCCTCCTCCCCTTCTTCCAGTCCTCAAACTCCTCTCCCTTCTACCACTGATATTATCTAGTTGGGTAATGGGACATCTATAAGAAAACAACCAAGCTCAGAGAGCACCAGGAACTCTACAGTATAATCCTGAGCTACAATTATTCTCTTCTGTTGGAACGATTAATTGAACTGGGCAGCCAAGAAACCAGCCATCGGTAGCTAGTTTTGGACCAGCAAATGTCTTTGAAGGTGAAGCCTATTATTTCATTCACTTTCAACAAGATAAACTGAGATGGGTCTTGTCCTCCAAGTCTTACTTGCTGGTTCTACAGTGGAGGGGGGCTCCAAACCTGGCAACTTTAAGACTTGTGGACCTCAAACCCCAGAATTCCTCATGCTGGCTGAAGATCAAGAGGTACCATGACTTGCTATCAAGTACAGGGGAAGCTCATCCTGCAGTCAGTAGAACCTTACGCAGAGTAGCTGTCCCAGATGATCACCAGACTGTCAGGACCTCGGTCGGCCGTGGCAACCCACCGCCGGTCGTCGCTGACACAGATGCAGGAGATACAACTGGAATGTCCCTAAGAAACATGGGAGGTCTCAGGAGAAGCAGACATCCTTGTGAGGAGGTCTGCTGTTTCACATAAGAAAGATGATTCCTAAGGCTCAGAGAACTCGGTCTTACCTGCAGGAGATACTGTTGATTCTTCAAGATGTCATGGACGACGGCAGTGTGAGCAGAGACGTACAACAGCACCCGTTGATCTTCATCCAGAAGGTTGAAAACAGGCAGCTGGCTGTTGTAGCCAAAGACCCACGACAAGCTCTGAAGGAAATGTCCAAGTCATATTATTTCCCCAAGACATCCCTAAGGATCATCTAGACTAGCCGAATCAGAAGGCCCACCCAACTAAAAATCACAAGAGGGGTTGTACAGGAATCCAGATGTTGGAAGGCATCAACTGCCGTCTGTTCAGTGTCCTTCACCCGAACTCACCAGAGGGTGATTGGAGAGCGGCTGAGTCTTCTCCTCAAACAACATCCCTGGGAAGGCTGATAACACAATTGAATCTTCCTCCTGGAACGGAGTCGCACTGCTGGCGGTGGTTTGGGTCCTGGACGTCTCACTCTCTTTTTGGGAGGTCCCCATTCCTGTCTCTAGACTGGTCATTTCACTATCGCTTGGTGGTTCTTGGCTTCTGAGGGACATCTTGGACTTCTCACTCCCTAAGCCAGGAGTTGTTGAACCCGTCCTGCTGGTGGACCTCCTCATTTTTGAGGGCACCGGTTCTAGGGAGATGCTTTTAGCGGATTCCTGCTCCACAAGCCCGGGACCACCTTCTTCTGTTCTGGCCTCTGAGAGTTTTCCACTGCTCGCTGGACCTCTTTCATCATCCCTGGTGCCAGGGCTCTTGCCATCGTCTCTGTCAGCTTCAAAGAGATTGTCTTCTACAAGAATCTCTGAAGTTGGAGAGGCTTCTTCTGACAGCCTCAGCTCTTTGAGCTCTTCATCTTCAGGTGTTGGGGTCCTGATTTCATGTCCCTAAATAGCAAAATAAAATTTGTGACCGAGCCTGGAAGTTGCATTCCTGTTTTCTTCTGTTTTGCCTGATTTTAAATCTTTACCTGGATTATTCCATTCTGTGCTTCCGAATATACAAAATTCAGAGGCCTTTTGGGGATGACTGGGACATTCCCAGCCTTGCTATGCAACAGGATGAGCTGACTGCATCCAGGGACAAATTATTACGAATATTTATTTACTAATGTTATTTTAATTCATAAGAATTCATCTTTAAATAATTAACAATATTATTTACTAATATTCTTGAAATTTCAATTAGTCTGGGTTAGGGTTAGCCATGCTGGCTGGGGAATTCTGGGAGTTGAAGTCCGCCCATCTTCAAGTGGCCAAGCTTGAGAAACATGGTTTTAAGGAGATGCCAGTCAATGGCAAGAGAAGTTTGGGGGGGGGGTTGATGATATGGTCAATATTGTCCACTTGCAGCATCTTTTGCCACTGACCGTAGTTACTGGAACTCCTCGAATCAGTATTTCTCAACGTTAAGCCACTTGAAAATGGTGGGACTTCAACTCCCAGAATCCCCAGCTTCCTAGTCTGGCTTCCGACTTACACTTGAGGGTACCACAATCAGAGGACCGATTTTCGGCAAAGAAATGTGATTTTCCACCCAAGAGAGGTCAGCTTCTTCCTCCTCTGGGCCGAGTGCATCGGTCTCCTCAGGAAGAGTTTCTGGATTTTCCAGGCGCTCCTTTGAGGTCTTCGTTGGATAATCCCACTGGTGGCTGTTCTTCTCCTCCTCCTTCTTGTCTTCCTCCATCGTCTCCTGCAAATATTTGTAGGGTTGAGAGAAAGTTGGAATGGCGCTAGCTGGGTAATGACGGTTCCCTTCCCCAAAGGTTTGGGATCATTCCAAATTGAGGGGAAATAGCCACGTTTGGGCTGAGAAACGTGTCCAGAGTGCCCATAAGGGACCTCTGGGTTTCGTCTTGAAGTTTGGCAGAGTCCATGCCAGTTTCCAGGCATTCTAGGAAGTTCTGCCCAATGGCATTACCAGCTTCCTCATCTTAAAGGAATTGCTAGAGGGAGCATAATTGCCCAGGCCAGGTTTCCTCACCAGCTGACAACCTCAGATCCTGGCTTCCTCATGTAGAATAACAGAACAGAATAAGAGTTGGAAGGGACCTTGGAGGTCTTCTAGTCCAACCCCCAGCACAACAGGAAACCCTATACCATTCCAGACAAAACCAGATACATTCTCTTCTTAAACTCCTCCAGTGAGGAGCACCCACCAACCTCAACAATTGTCCAGGAGGTTAAGCCATGATGTGTCCATTACAGGTTCCTTCAACCACAATCCAGAAGTGGGTCACCATGACCTTCCTCCAGGATTTTCAGATTTCCATTCCCACCTATACCCCATCATCTCCTAGTGGCCTCCTTTTCAAGGTTTGACCAGCTCTGGTCTTCCTTAGCCACAATTAAACGAGCCAAGGTCTACTTTCACTCCGCCAAAACAAAACAAGACCGACAAAATTGCCCAACCAACAGAAACCTTTTTTTTTTCTTTTTTGAGGAAAGAAACAAGTCTCTGCAGAAATCTTAACCCAGAAATTCCTCCTCAATCATTGCCATTCATCACTCCCCCCCCCCGCCCCGGGACAAACCAACTATAGTTTCCATTTTTTTTCTTCTTTTTCTGGCTTAGACAATGATTTAAATTTTCCTGAGGTTCAGCGTTGTCGATTCTCCCCCTTTCCCAAAGAGCTTGTCCTCACCTGCCCGCCTTCTCGACTCACCTGACGGCTCCAACTCCAGCAGCGACTGTTTGCATCCCATTCCGGTTGCCACGGCAACCGCCAGCCGCCTGCAAACAACTCCAGACTGAGTTGCACGCTTGGCAAGCAGTGCAAAGCTTTGCTTCCCTGAATTTCCAAGGATTCAAAACCGGGTAGGCAGGCTAGCACAATTTCCTTTCTTCTCTAACCAGACACCCCTTTTCACACACCCCCCCAAAAAAACCCCTCTAAACCAGGTGCAGGGTTGATTTTGCTGTCTGTTAGATTTATTCCAGGCTGTCTGATTTAATGTTTTTAGCTCCTTTTTTTTTTTAGGTTTTCTCTACCTGCCACCCGGAGCCCACTGGAGTTGAGCAGCCAATACATTTCAGGAAATAAATAGAATTAATCCATCTTGCAACTGAGAAAGGGTGCTTTGAGGTTTTTGCAAAACTCTGTTGGAGGATGGTGGAACCGATTGCTTTGGGTGAAAGAAAAAAAAAAAGACTCGGGCTGGCTTTCTTTCTATTTGGAAAACACTCTCGGATTTTTTTTTTTTCTTGAAAGAAGTGAAATGTTGATCTTGGGTTATAATTTATTCTAGTTCAGAACGGTATTGATTCTTAGGTTTTTATTTGTGCCAAAGAGGCTATTTGTCTGTAGGTTTTTCCTTTTATTTATTTTTTCCTGTGCTCCCAATTTCGCTTTTTCCGAACTTTTTTTTCTTTTCAATTTTTTTCCTTTGCCTTTTGTAGGTTATACTTTTCTGAAATTTAATAAAGTTTTATATAAAATAAGTCAGATGAATGGGGAAAAAAAAACACCTTCTAATTCCCCAAAATTCCCAGCTTGACTGTGGGATGCAGGATTCCTGTTGGGTGTCCAGCACTTCAAAAGATTTTAAAAAAACGAAGAAAAGGTCTAGTTGATAAAAACTGAGCTGACTTTTCAATCCGTGGTCAAGAAAAATCAGCAGCGATGTGGAGTTTCTCTCAGTTTTCCTGATTTGATTTTTTCCTTTTGTGCCTGATCTACAGTATTAGGCAGCTACCATTTAGTACATACGCTAGAATAATGTTCTGTAGAAGTATTTGAATAATAAAGGCCGATTCACATCTCTCGTATTAAAAAACATTTGAAACGCCTAAATTGTAACAAGGTTTGGGAGGAAAAAAAATCAGGCTATAAATCCAGAACGCTTTTGTTGCAGATCTTCATTTTATAGTATTTATTTTCAAGCTTGTATTGCTAATAATTGCACTGATTGCCTTTAAAAAAGACCCAGGATGACTTTTATCCTAAGTGACAATACAAAACACATCAGGGAAGGTTTTAGCGCATTTCGCAGAAACGATCAAGGACAAAAAAGAAAAAAAAATAACACCAGGAGAATGGCATAAATCTTTATTGTCCAGTTCCTGGACCAAACAGGGAAGAATCCAAAGGAAGGCCACAAAACTAAGTTGCTCAATTCCACCATGAATTGAGCAACTTGTCCTTACACCCAAGTTAAAACGTACTGAATACCTTTTGGGAATCAGGGAAAAAAAAATTCAAATGGCATCTGCAGGAAACACAGTAAAAGCCCCAAATTCCAAATTCATTTTAGCCATTTCAGCTTCTTCGGAGAGATGATCAAAATGACATGTCACCAAAAAAACACGAGTTGGCTCATCAGTCGAAGTCATCTTTGCAAAGGAACAATATTACAGCTGGAGATCGAGAGGAAAAAGAGAAAAAAAAGCAAATTAAACCTTCGGCAAGCACCAGAATAGTACTAGCACCCCGACTTTTGTTCCTCAGAGAAGCAAGAGAATTTACACAAATACAGGCAGAGGAAGGCACAATTCTAGGGCTGTTTTTCGACCATTAGAACTTTAAATAGATCAAATATGCTCAACGTTTGGCAATACTTACAAAAAAAAGAATGGTTGGTGAAGATGATGGAACTTGCAGAGATGGCTAAATTAACTTCTTTGATAAAAGAAAAAAAAACAGGACCTACATTTATGGTTGGCTGGAAACTCCCTTACAGACTTTTTGATGAAATAGGAAAAAAAATGCACTTATGATTTGTAGTTTTGAGGGATAAATAGATGGATTAATTAAATGGATAATAGAAAAAGAACGAGCTTTCTTTTGTCATCAAAATAAGAAATTATTTTGTAATTGTACTTATATTTGCTGCAAAGAAAATCGGAAGCGTCTTTTATTTTTTTTATTCTTTGTATCTTTTTGACTTTTTTCTTTCTCTTTTTCTCTCTTTTCTGCCTTTTACTTGTTATTCTGTTGTGTTACTTTTATTCTCTTGGTAAAACTTTGAATAAAAAAATCTATACAGAAAAAACTTTAAACAGATCAGGATGGAAATCTTGGGATTTCTCTTCTAATCTTCACAAAATCCTGTCTGAGCATCACAATTTTTATGTTTCTTTTTCTGGGATTATTAATATTGGAGATTGAAGAGAGCTACGGATACCAGAGGCCAGCTACTGTTTCTTCTGAGCATTTCATTCTTGTAATTTCAGTCACGGAAGCATCTTTTCCTGAATCTAAAGTTTGGGAATACTTACCCCAGAAGTCCTTTCCCACTCCAGCGCTTTGGGGTCAGCCCCAGATGGGTTTTTTCCCCTCTTCGGATCACAGTCACCCTTAAGGGTTTCTGGGGGAGAGAAACAAACAAACAAAAAATAAAATAAAAAGATTTCTCTCATTCAGTTTGGTTTATGTAGCTAATGGGGGGGGGGGGAAGGCAGAAGAGCTACAATGTGAAGTGTCCAGATAAGCCCCTCCCAAACTCTTTCCAGACCCGCAAAGAAAGCAAGCCGCTCACGTCCTCACTGTGCTGAACCACGGTTGCAATGTTCTGCAACGATTGGAAATTCTGGCTGTTAACCGAGCCAAACTCGGCGATCTCGTCGCCCACTTGTAAACCCTGCAGAAAGAAGCAAAAACGATCCCTTTGTCTCGTGTAGAGTTGGGCCAATTGCTCTTTTTTTTAGACCAGCCCACCTTGTAAGGCTTTGGTTACGTTGATAAAAGGAGGAGGCAGAGAAAAGTCTAAATCCTTACCGAAAGGCAGGACGTAACAATGCAGAATAAAGAAATAAAGGAAGCTCCCACCCACTGGGCTCCAGAGCAAGAGAAGCCGGTACTTGCCGCGAAGCTGGCTGGGGAGCCGGGACTGACGGCGTTCACTCGGGCGAAGGGCTGGGGCAAGGCCTGGTTTTGGGCTTCGGCACGAGCCTCGGCCTCATCCTGGTCACGCTTCTCTTTCTCCCGGGCGTGCAGCTGATGCAGTCCCTCTTCCACCTGCTCCATCAGGGCTTGGTGGTCGTTCTGCAGACCTGAAAGCGGAATGGCGCAAATCATCACCAACACTTGCTGGTTGTCTACCGCCCAAATTCTGATCACGTGAAGCTGCAATGGTTGTAAGTACGAGGACCAATCTTAAGTCACGTTTTTTTCCCAGTGCCGTTGTAAGTTTGAAGAGTTGCTAAAGAAATGAATTTAAGCCGAGGATTTCCTGCACGCAAAAGAAGCCAATGGATGTATGCAGAATGAATTAAATGTTTAAATAAGGAGACAGGGCTTTAAACCTGCTGAAAATTAAGGACTTGGCTGCTTACAGATGATGTTGTGTCTCGCGGTCCGGACTTGGTAGATGTCCACATCTGCCCGAGGGTAGCCGTCAGCGTCTACGAGTGGCTCACTCATTCCAACCCCTTTTTGCTGCAAATAAGAAAATCAAAGTGTCCCTTTTCAGATTTGTTTTTTGCGCAAATTACATATGAATTCACTGCCTTATGGGAAGCCCTCATCTGTTCCATGCTGGCTACCCAAATAAACCAAACTTGGCTGGGATGGTAAAAGACGCCATGCTGCAAATTACGGTTAACAAACCAGCTTCATCCCGTATGTTCAACAAGCACCAACAAACCACCTATATTTTGACTAGATAGATCAACTTAGACGTAACAGGTTATGGTGCCACAGCTTGAAATCTTACTTTAGGCTCAGAAGATATGAAAATTGGACAGAAACTTATTTCAAAAGCTCCCGCCAACATTTTAAATCACAGAAGGCTGGAGAGAGCAGCTTAAAAAAAAATTAAAATTAAAAAGGCTTTTGCAATGACTCAGCTCTGAAAAGGAGTCCTATGCATTTCCTGTGTTTCTTAGCAAAATGTTTCACTTTTTCTCATCCAGAGGACCCTCTCCTCCTCCTCCTCCTCCTCCTCCTCCTGTATGCATCCCCCCCCCTTTTGCTTCTGGTGCAGAAGCTGAAAGTTCAGATCCAACCCTTTTAATTCCGGGATCCTTCCCTGTTTTGTATGCCTGCAATGTTTACGCCAGTCTTTCTCAACCTTGACAGCTTGAAGATGGGTGGACTTCAACTCCCAGAATCCCAAGCTTCCTGGCCTGGCTTCCTACTTACACTTGAGGGCACCCGTGGGGAATTCTGGGAGTTGAAGCCCACCCTGGTTTTAAGCACTTGCTTGCAAGCAAAGGAGCTTGCAAAGCAATGCATTTAATGCAATGCAAATATCTGCCTTTGCAGCCCCCCCCCGCCCAGGCTGGAAAGGACCTCCTGCAAAAAAGGATGATGGGAGCTGTAGTCCTTTAAGGCCTCCAGCTGGTTTCCCCCCCAGCCCAGCCCCCCACTCAGCCTGTCCTGCCACTCACATCCTGCAGGACTTCATAGTAGGCCTTGATCTGGGCCTCAATTTCGTCCTTCTTCTTCAGCAGCTGCTGCAGGTCGCTGACCGTCACCGGCGGCTCCTGCAGAGACATTTTCCGGAGAAAACGCCACAAACGCTCCAGGCTGGGAGGCCAGTGGCAGAAACTACGGGTCGCGACGGGAGGCCAAAGAGCGCGGATTGCGAAGTTCGTAACAAGGAGGCGGGGCGAAGCAAGGAAGGTGGCCGGTGGGAGGCGAGGGGGCGTGGCCGGCTGGGCGTCGCCTGGGATTCGTCCATTTAAAGGGAGCGAAGCCGGTTGAGTTGCCTTTGCGCGTCTGAATGGGCCGCTTCTCGCTTTATTTCCCCCCCCCTTCCTGAATAAAAATAAAGGTTAATAGAATAAAAATGCAGTTGGTGTGTTTTTGAGGCAGGGAAATGCCAGGACGTTTTTATTGATTGTTTTATTTATTTATTCAATATTGTCAAGTGGATTTAAACTGTTCAATTTCTGTCTTAAATATCCCTCCCTCTCTCCATTCTCTCTCTCTCATCTATCTGTCTGTCTGTCTGTCTGTCTGTCTGTCTGTCTGTCTATCTATCTATCTATCTATCTATCTATCTATCTATCTATCTATCTATCTATCTATCTATCCTCTATCTATCTATCTATCTATCTATCTATCTATCTATCCTCTATCTATCTATCCTCTATCTATCTATCTATCTATCTATCTATCTATCTATCTATCCTCTATCTATCTATTTATTTATTTATTTATTTATTGTTCGAATTTATATCCCGCCCTTCTCCTTGCGGACTCAGGGCGGCTGACAATCAATTAAAAACACCAATAACAACATAAAATTTAAAATTAATTAAAATGAAATATTTAACTTGTCTAATTTAAAATATAATTAAAAACTCCTCTAAAAACCCCTCTTAAAAATTACCCTAGGCCAGTCCCGCTTGTTGGAATAGCCATGTCTTGAGATAGATAGAGGATAGATCTATCTATCTATCCTCTATCTATCTATCTATCTATCTATCTATCTATCTATCTATCTATCTATCTATCTATCTATCTATCTATCCTCTATCCTCTATCTATCTATCTATCTATCTATCTATCTATCTATCTATCCTCTATCTATCTATCTATCTATCTATCTATCTATCTATCTATCTATCCTCTATCTATCTATCTATCTATCTGTCTGTCTGTCTGTCTGTCTGTCTGTCTGTCTGTCTATCTATCATCTATCCTCTATCTATCTATCATTGTCTATCAGTCATCTATCTACTATGTAATTTAGTTTGGCAATTTACAGCAATTTTTATTTTTTAAAAAATAAGGATTGCTACCATTTTTTTTCCTTTTCCTCTTTCCAAGCTCTGGTTCATGCATCCCTTCCACTGCAGTTCCCAGCAATCACGGATTTTTTTCTGAACAGAGACATTTTTCCCGTATCTCTAGCCAAGGTTTTTAAGGAAAGGCACCATTATTGGGTTGGTCTCCAAATAGCAGACGGAGAAAGGCGGTTCCGGAGAGTCAACATAATTACCTCCTGGAGAAATATTTGTAGTAATGAACCTAACCTTGATTTATGTTTAATTTCGAAACCAATTGTGATGGGTTCGCTTGTAAATAACATTCTGCCATAAATATATCTGTACTTATCATACTATTTTCCTTTGGAGGCCCAGAAAAGGAGAAAGAAGTAGGGGACCAGGAATTTTCTATCAATATCCTGCATCATCACCACCACCACCTCCTCCTCTTTCTTCTTCTTTCTTCTCCTCCTCCTCCTCCAGAGAGGCATCTTTCTAAGCGCTAAAGCCTTGAAGAGCAATTCCTAAAATGGACATTCTTCTCTCCACAAGATAATCGGCACCATCTTGCAACAGGAGAACCTCTGTGGTGGACCCCAGGATTGAACCCTTTCCATTGCTGATGGTTTTCTGGCCTTCCAATTTTCCCACAGAAGTGGTGCTAGCAGACGAGATCCCATCATTCGTGTGGGTTGGTAGGTGGTTGCCAGATGGGAGCTGGCAGTGTAATCTGGGTTGGGATGTAGTTTCCTTTTTGATGACAACTTGATTAGAACCTCATTTCTTCCTCAACGAAGCTGATGTAGGTGTGGGCCCCGGAAGCAGATGCCCAGAGTTGTTTGTTGGTTTTCTTCCTAGACTTCTAATTTTATTTAATTTTAATTTCCATGCACTATGCAGACGGGGTGACTTGATGTGTCTGGAATTGATTGATCTGTCGGATATTGACATTCAGCCTAAAGGGAGAGCCTAGCATGAACTTGCCAACATAAACTCCTTGTCCATTAAAAAAAAGGGGGGAGGTTCAATTGCACTACCAAAGCCACCTTGACTGGTCCCTGGAGTTGCAAGACGGTAGCCTCTTCCCGGTCAAGAAAAATCTCCATCAAATCTCCCTTCCCATCAACAAATCTCGTTAAGAAGATCCTGGGATTTGTGCTTTGTGCTGGAATCTACCGGCCGAGAAGCCGAAGAATGGATGTCCTACGCTCTGCCTCAGTGGACGCGGTTGAGAAATATCAAGACTTGTGTTTAAAAAGTTAAAATGTACATCTGGAAGAGGAGGAGGAGGAGGAGATGTGGGGAGGAGCTGGGGCCCTCCTCTTTTTACAATTCAAAAGATTTCCACACTGTCTCTCTGCCTCTTTCTGCCTTCCCACCTTCTGTTTCTTCAGCTGCAAGGAAAGACCAAAATGGTGAGGTCCCCAAGGCTTTGACCCTTTTTTCCTCTTTTTCAATAACTTTTTCACAGGATGTTTACTTCCATTCTCTGCAAGATGGATTCCAAGCTCTGTTGGCCCATTCTTGCCATTCTCTATTTTCTTAAACTATGTGTCGAATTATTAGCATTCTCCCAAATGGTTGCTATTATCTTGCTCTGTACTATCCTTGCTTCTTAGCAAAAGGGTGCCTTGCTTGTCCCTTCTATAAAACTGGCAAATGTATTTTAAGACGCTGCTCAAACCTGCAGCATCACATGGATGTCTCAGTTTAGTGCCTAAGCTTTTTTCTTTTCACAGAAGTGTCATTTTGGAGAATGCTAGATTTATAGGTTTTTCATTCACCTTTTTTTATGACTGAACGAATCACAGTCTAGACTTGGCTAGGTTCTAGCTGTATAAAAATATTTGTCCAAAAATAAATGTTCAAATCTGAATGTTATCTGCACTTGATACAGACGATGACCATCCTTAAAATGTAGTTTAAACTCACTTAGTTAATAAGTTTTTGTTTTGCTTTGTCTTTTTCTTTCCTGGAGTAATTAAAAGAAAATCCATGTTTTATTCTTTTTTTCTATCAGACAACCTATACAGATAAAGGAGAAAAGGTAAGCTCACTTATTATATTCTTCTTAAATGTTTTGTTTGGCATTTAAAAAAATTGAATTTAAAAAAAATCTTTAAGAGTTTCTTCTTTTGAGCGTGCCTATCAGTTGATTAAATAAACAAGTATTTATCCTTTAATAGATTACTCCCATTGGAATCTCAAATGCAGTGAAACAGACTGGGTAAAAGCCCATTTAAAAATAATGTTTTTTCTTAGCCATAGGAAAACTTGTTGTCAAAATCTGTTCTTAGCAAGCGATGTATGTTGCTATAAGAGTGGGCTGATACAAAAATAGCATGATGTGGTTTCAAATTTATATCTATTGAAAAAAAACCACATTTATCTTTTATTTAATCTGGTTCTCATTATAACTGTGACTTTTTCATGCATTACTCTAAGCTGGACCAGCCATGGAACATACCCTGATCTGGGACAAGTAACGAATTCCAGATTTCTGTCTGCATAACTTAATTAAGCATTAGAATGAAAAGATAATGCTACAAACTTATCAGATAAATCTTGGGGGTTGTAAAAGAAGCTCAGAAATGGGTGAGGTTTTTTGTGTGTGATTTTCCACCCAAGTTTATCTTGCAATTCTGGAAATCAGCAGTTGGGTATGCAAAACAGCCAAGCAAAAAAATTAATTTGGCGCTTGGCTTAGCCTATTGTGAAATCAGCCACTATAATTTGGAAATCTTGGTTTATGGAGGTCACCTCTACCCCCTCAGTTATGGTTTATTCAACAAACTGTCCTGAATGGGAAAAATAACTGGAGCCTCCCACCTCTCTGGCTCTGACAGATAAATTTAACAATCCTCTTGAAATGGATGAGGCTTCAAAAGGTTGAACTTTGCCTGGAGTTTACAAACAGGGATCTGTGCTTTGTTAAACTCTAAACCCAGCTTGTAATGTCTGTATCAGACCAAGGGCTAAGTTGCTTGCCGAGAAGGAAATGCAACCGAATCCAGCAGGTGAGAAGTTTTCCTCATCGGTTAAAAAAAATAAAAATGGAATCTTCTTTAAAAACATTACTCACGGGGTAACCATCACCCCTTGGATACACTCCACCTCCTGCGTAAGAGCTGGGTAAATATTTTCCAGTCAATTTAATCTTTAACCTAGCAAGGTTATCAGGAGCCTTGCCAGCCCAAACAGTGGTGAAGGCTGGGGGCATCTTTGCAAAATGACTGCAAATCCAGAGGTGGAAGCCACAGCTGGAATCAGCCAGCCCCAGGCCAAGCTGAAAGCAAACCAGGTGTCTCTTAAGGACGCTTTCTTTGGGGATCGAATTCTTCCAATAAAATATTTGTCACCCAGAGGGGGTCCTTGGTGCTCTCTGAGGTGGGTGTTTTTCTTGCAGACATTTCATTACCTGACAAGGTAGCATCATCAGTGCTAGAAGGAAGGGGGATCCTTAATTTTTATCTGCTATAGAAGAGCAAGCCCCGCAGCCTTCTAACACTGATGATGTTCCCTAGTTGGGTCATGAAATGTCTGCAAGAAAACAACCAAGTTCAGAGAGCACCAAGGACCCCATTGAGGTCTTCATCCAACTGCAATCCTGAGAAATATGAACAAGAACCTTTATTCAGATATTGTCTCTCTGGTTGCAACCCAGCTTGTATCCCTGGGAATCCCCCTTGGCTACCCCCAGATCAGCTGGGCCGTAACCCCCTGCCCTGTCTTTCCTTCTCCTTCAGCCGGCCAGAGGCCGATTTCTGAACTTCCACTCCTTGACCTTCTGGGTTGGCAATGCCAAACAGGTAAGCGGGGTCTTGTGTAAACGCTGGCCGGGGCCCGTCGAGGCGGCTCCCATGCCTGGCTGGGATGAACCTGGGCAGCGTTTCCATTGGAGGGTGGAAAGGCGGGGAAGGAAGGATGTTCCAAACCATCATCTGCATTTGATTTAGGGTTTACGCTTGGCTGTCACGGAGACATGTGCTGCCCAATGCAACCCAGGGCTGACCAACCCGGGGCATGCACGCACACCCACAAACACCCACATAGATACTGGCAGGGCTGACTCTCCAGGCCTCCACCCTGCAGAGTCCCCACATCTTGGGGGGGGGGTTTGCAATCTGTCAATTTCCCAGGACGGCTTTCGTGCTGAAGCCGTTCCAGTTTTTCCTTCTGGCAGGGTTGATAATTGATCCCTGATGCCACAGCCCGCCTCCGTGGGATTCTTCCATTTATCATTTGAAGCACTTCGGCTCCAAATGTTTCCCAGATCAACATGCTGTGCTTTTTCATGGGCTCATGTTTCCAAAAGCAAGACATAAGAGGAAAGGGGAGCGTGGAGGGAAAAGAAAGAAAGCCGTCTTGGCAGAGCGGAGTATTTTTCGCAAAGTGGCCGAGTGGGTGTTTGAATCTGGAATCTTCAAAACGTGACACCTCATCTGGGGCAGGAACTATGGTGGTGGAGCTCCAGTGCCTATCAGACTCAGCAAGCAAAGTCAAGGATCGGGAATGATGGGAACCAAGGGGCAAACCACACTTGGAAGGAAGGAAGGAAGGAAGGAAGGAAGGAAGGAAGGAAGGAAGAAAGGAAGGAAGGAAGGAAGGAAGGAAGGAAGGAAGGAAGGAAGGACAAGGAACGAAGGAAAGGGACAGAAGCAGAAGGAAAGGAAAGGAAAGGACAGGAAAGGAAAGGAAAGGAAAGGAAATTTAATTTAGCTTCCCTCTTTGTCTCAAGGCTGCATCCTTTTACTGCAACAAAATGGGGTTTGAAGAACTGGCCTACCGAGGCTTGGAGACTGGCAGCCGAGAGGTGGTTTCCCACGTGATCAAGCAGGATAAGGTAAAATGCACAGAAAATAATATCATGACTTGAGGCCTTGAGAGCTGCCGATAGGCTGGTTCGCTCAATAATTTTCAATTTGGTTGTGAAGCAAAGTCAGCAAGTCGACACTCCGAGGTAGCAAAAGGAGGAGAATTCAAAATCTGAAGCCTGCAAACAGTTCTTTCAATCATCTTAATCCCAGCTTGCCCTGTTCCTGCTCTTCTTATCTTTCAAAAGAGATCTTGCAAAAAGATAAATCTCTGGAAAAGCAGAAGATCAACATTAATTAGCAGGTTAATTAATTAACCTTGGCCATCATCTCAGAAACTAGATGAAAGTTTGAAGTGATAGAGGAAATTCTTGACCATCCCTTAATTGTGCCTTAGAGGCAGTGCATTAATTCTCTCTTTATTATGTTTATTTCCAGATTATATTTGTTTTCTCCTCGGCCCTTAACCCTGGCAATGAAGGTAAATTTAGAACCGGTGGGACCAGCATTACCATATTATTATTATTATTGTTGTTGATGTTATTATTGTTAGTTGTTGATATTGTTATTATTATTTCTTGTAAGGTGTCTCTGTTGCTTTTAGAGTGAGATGGGCGACATATACATTTAATAAATAAATTTAATAAATAAGGAAATATCATAGCAGGAGTTAGCAGGAGACCTCTGAACCCTGTTCAAATTAGCACATGTGATGTACTTTTTTCCTATGTCGCTATCTAATTAGTATATTTATATATTGTTCGGTTATTTCTCGGATAATAAAATTGGTCGTTATTGCTTGAAGCTGCTGTATTATGAGGATAAGCAGAAATTTTGGGGTCCTGCTGAATGGGATGAACAGCTGCTGCTGAACATCTGTGCCCCCCAAAAATAATGTCCATTTTGACTCCTCTTTTTTGGTCTACGTAGAAATGGGACGGCACTTAATAGAGCACGGAGATGGCGTCAAAGATGTTGCCTTTGAAGTGGAGGACTGCGATTCTATTGTGAAGGTAAAGCGGAAAATCTTTCACACATTCAAGACTTTGCTTTCCTGGGAATTTTCAGGTTCCTCGACCGAATGCCAGCCTCGAGCATCACCTTCATTTCAGAGAAGACATCTGGACCATCTGTCAAGGCCATAAATAGAACATTAAGCAGAGAGTGTGGGTCCCACCTGCCTAGAGATAGGATAGCTAAATTGAAGGTAGTTGTAAGGATGTGATGGCCACATTGCCTAAGGCAGTGTTTGTTGACCTTGTCCACTTTAAGAGGTGTGGGCTTCAACTCCCAGAATTCCCCAGGATTTGGCTTCTCTGGAGAACAAACTCTACGGTTGGTGGAGCACGCTGGGTTTGTTGAACCAATGTTTTAAGTCAATGTTTCTCCATTTGACTACTTTAAGAAGGGTGGACTTCAATTCCCAGAATTCTGGAACTGAAGTCCACCCTTCTTAAAGTGGCCGAGCTCGAGAAACATTGTCTAAGGCAAGCTGAGGGCAGTATTACAGTTTTGTCTTCAGTCTTTGGTGGTGAGTTCAGGGAGAAAAATCAGTCCATGTGGTTGCTAGGTGTCCAAAATGACTTGATGGCACATGATCAATCCATCTTTGGTGAGGGCCACATTTTGACAGCAGATCTTTAGTGAATAGGCAAGGACCTCTTGGGATGTTCCTGTGACAAAATGCCAAACTTGCCCAGCATTTTCAAGTTTGCCAGTTCTCACCCCAGCCTGTTGGCTGACCTATCTGACGTTACTTCATTCTCCCATCCTCCGTTCAGAAAGCCCGAGAACGTGGAGCTCGGATAGTACGAGAGCCCTGGACAGAAGAAGACAAGCACGGGAAAGTGAAATTTGCAGTCGTGCAAACGGTAAAGACTTTGGAGGAAGGTTTCAAAGCAGAGAGGAGAAGAAGGGAGATCAGAATAGCAGGGAAAATGGTGGTTAGTTGGGTGGGAAGGTCTTCTCCAGCTTGGCATTCTCAGAATGAGTTGTCCTGAAGCTCTCAACACTTCTAGTCAGCTGGAAATGGTGGGAATTGTGCTGGATGGACCTAGAAAAGGCCACACTGGGAAAAACTAAGCAAATATTACTGAATCTGGGTTGTTTTAAGATGAACAAGCACTGAAGAAAATGAAATAAAAAGGCTGGGAGACATCAAAGGTGGGTCGAGAGTTGGTGAGAAGCAAAATTCTGGCTCTTCTTCAGCTTGGTAGCTTGGACAGTTTTGATGTAGGCTGTCTCCCACTGCTTTGTACAAAAGAGGGGAAGGCCCCAAAATCTCATCTCCAAAGAGAGAAGCAAACGCTGTAAGGAAGGAAGCTCTCTGCTTTGAGATGGTCCGGCTTCACGGGATGGTCTCCTCCAATGCTGGGCGATCTGGTTGCTAAAGAGCTTCAGTTCCCTCAAAGCTAGATGGAGCAAAGTCTGAGCTTTTGGCCAAAACATATCTGGAAGGAAATAATCTTTCTCTGTAGATGCCAGAGACCTTCTGCCCAACTGCGGATGCTCTACCAGCTTCTTAGGAAAGTCTTCTCTCCAAATGTTGGTGCAATCTGATCATCTTGTGTTTCTTCTTCTCTGACAATATAGTATGGAGACACCACCCACACACTCATAGAGAAACAGAACTACAAAGGACTCTTCTTACCTGGATTTGAAGCCCCTCTCTTTAAGGACCCGCTCTTAAAAAAACTGTAAGTATCCAAGCTTGCTTAGATGTTGCCCTCAAATCCCTCAAGTGCAGAGAAAACGGCTGGCTACTCTCTCCAAGGTCAGCCAGTTGTGGAAAGCCTCGGGACAAAAATGGGTTGTGCGGAAGCAATTCCAGATGTGCGTGAGAAAGGACAATTCAGTAGAAAAGAAGGAATAGGAAAAAAAAACCCCACGTCCCATGGAAAATGAATTGTGACTAGTTCGAAAGTCAAGGATGGGGAAGCTGGGGAGAGAAGAAGATTGACCGGTGAACATGATATGGTCACGTTTCTCTCTTGTTTCCAGACCTGCTGCAAAACTGAAGTTTATTGATCACATTGTGGGGAATCAGCCTGACCAGGAGATGCTCTCTGTGGTAGAATGGTGAGATTTTTCTTTGAAACCTTCCTTAAAACGAATATAAGCAGGTGTTGAAGCTGGTGGCACCCAAGTAGGACATGAAGGTGAAGCTTTAGCTAGAGTGTCTGTTAAGGGATTATAAGACATGGAGTACCAACTCATCAGGATGAGGAAGACTGGCTTAGAAGACGAGCTGAAGGTTGGACTCACCAGCTAATGTTTCATTACTGAGTTCTATATAATCAGAAAGATGTTTGGGATTACTTTGGGGTCTCTCTGGACAGACCATGGCCTGCTAGGTGATCTTCAAGATCATTTTCTCCTCTGATCAAAGGTTTCTTCACCACTTTGAATAGAGTTTTGATATTAAACTCCAGGCCCCCTTAGGAAAATATCAGAGCCCTGTTTGGATATTTGGGTAACAACTAACTGCTCTTTGTGCTTTCCTGAGCAAAGACCATTATTGATTAAAGTTAATGAATAAGAGCATTTCAATAAGAGGACAAATGGCAAACATGGCCTAAATGCCACATTTTCCTTCTAAACCAATGCTAATAAACATCCGCAGCAATCTTTCTCAGCCACTTTAAGAGGTGTGGAATTCAACTCCCTGAATTCTTGGTTAACTTGGCTGTTTCCCAATCCTTGACCAATATGATGTTGGATGGAATGAGAAGGTTTTAGCATCTACTTGAGGTCTCTGTTTTCCGGTATGGCCTCGACAGGTATCAGAAGAATCTCCAGTTCCATCGCTTCTGGTCTGTGGATGACAAACAACTGCACACTGAATTCAGTGCCCTGCGGTCTGTGGTTATGGCCAATTATGAGGAGACCATCAAAATGCCCATCAATGAACCTGCAATGGGCAAGAAGAAATCTCAGATCCAGGTACCAAAGCTGACTCACCAATTCTCCTTGCAAAAGATGTTCTTGTTTTTGGGGAGGGGATCTTTGCTATCTCATCTAGCTGGCCTCTTCTCCAACCTCGTGCAAGATCGTCAAGCCAAGATTGTGTGCTGCTCTAGCAACAGGTGGGATAGTCAGAAGAAGAAAGATGTGTGGGCTGTCCTTAAGCCCTCTTGTTGTCTTTGTGAGGAATACAGAGCCAGTGCTGAAACCTAGCAAACCAGGATTCAGAGCTTCAAACCAACATCCTTACCCAAGTCACGTCACAAGTCAGAATGAACCAGGAGCAAGCACTCGTGATGCTGTGATCTTCCCACTCTTAACCCACCAGAGCTCTGCGCCACAAATGCAGGAGAGTGTAGACATGGTGATGTTCTTCAACCTGAGATCTTTGCATATGGTCCATCTTGGTTGATTTGTTCCACAGGAATACGTGGACTATTATGGAGGCCCTGGAGTCCAGCACATCGCCCTGAACACCTCAGACATCATCACTTCGGTAAGAATGTCCATTTCTTTACAACCCTCCCCATCCAAAATGTCAACCTCTTGGAAGGGGTCAATCTTACACTCATGAATCTTCTCCTGATGTAGATCACAAACTTGAAAGACCGTGGCATGGAGTTCATGTCCGTTCCATCAAAGTACTACCAGCAGCTCCGGGAGCGGCTGAAGACAGCCAAGATCAAAGTGAAGGAAAGCATTGACAAACTGGAGGTCAGTTGCCTTCCATTATAATGGGGGATCATGGTTAGCGTGTTAGCCTAAGATGTTATCACTTTAGATGGTTCTTGAGAAGAAATGGAGGAGAGCAGGAAGATCAGGAGGCCTCTTGAGGGGAGAATGGCTACAGAACTATAATAAAAACTACTATTTATCGTTCATTCATCTTGATGGCAGTCCTTTTGCTCAAAGATGGATACATTTTATATATTAGACTGACATTTAATGGAGTAGATGATTTGAGTCTAATTCTGCTTCATTGGAGCTCCCAGATACTCTTAACCAGCATGGGGAGTTGCAAAATGAAAGAGACCAGGTTGGTTGCATCTGTTTGAGAGACACAGGAGAATCTGAAGAGAAGAAAACTAGCATGCTTTACAGATAGTAAAGTTGTGCTTTCATTACAACTTGCAGTCAAAATGTTTAAAGTCGCTCAGTTTCTTTGGCAACTTCCTTCAGTCTTTGGTCGTTCTCTTTCAAGGAACTCAAAATCTTAATTGACTTTGACGAGAAGGGCTACCTGCTTCAGATCTTCACCAAGCCCGTTCAGGACAGGCCGACCGTCTTCCTTGAGGTCATTCAGCGCTACAACCATGAGGTGGGTCCCTCAGGGGCGACGTCCTTCCAGGTTATCTTGAAGAACAGTTGATTTTGCAGATGCTGTGGGGTCATCTTTGGGCCTCCTCTGGTTTCCGTCGGCTTTCCAAAAATCAGAGACAAATTTTCACTACCAAGGGGTGGAAGTCCTGAGGAAATTTCAACTGAAGAGTTGGGTGATAGGATTTCTGAAGCCTGCTGTTGCTGTTTGATTGTCTGATCTGGAGATCTTCTAGCCTAGGGATCTCCAAACTTGGCAACTTTTAAGACTTATGGACTTCAACTTCCCAACTCAGCTGAGGAATTCTGGGAGTTGAAATCCGTAAGTCTTAAAGTTGCCGATTTTGGAGACTCCTGCTCTAGCCCACTGTTCCCTGATTTTGGCCATTTCTGAATTTGTGGACTTCAACTCCCAGGATTCCAGTGGCAGTATAGCCATGGATAAGGATTCTGGCAGTTGAAGTCCATTCTCCTGAAATGGCAAGGTTGGGACACACCGTATCTGGCCAGATGATATTCTAAACCAGAGTTAATTAATTTGAACAGATAAGTGTTTAATTAATTCCTTTGCTCACTACTTTGGGGAGGGTCTGTACATTCGTGAAATGCAGAACTGGATCGCCAACTGCCATTTTGGATCTAAACAGAGCATCCCAGCATCAGAGAAAAGAACCTTATCATTATTGGCAGACACAGACTGGTGTGTAGGTTAGCAAAAAAAATAGTACTTATGCCTGTTTTTTTTCCTTCCAAATTTAGGGTTTTGGAGCAGGAAACTTCAAGTCTCTGTTTGAAGCTATTGAAATTGACCAAGATGCTCGGGGAAACCTCAACATCCTGACGCCCGACGGAGAGTCCAAGCTCATGTAACGTCCATCAGCCCCAAAGGGAGATGTCCTCAGAGTGAAATGTGACGGGCAAAGATTACACACCAATCTTCCATTGTAACCAGATCTTTTTTGTCAAATTAAAAAAAAATTGAGCTTCTTGCAGTGTCTGTTTTGGGGATAACGCTTGGAGAACGGATGGAAAACAAATCAGAGATGATGACACATGAATATCGAAGGACTGGGAAAAACAGAATCATGATGCCTCCTTCTCTTTTTAGCTAAGGTTTCTCAACCTCTGGGCAGCGTACAGGTAGTTCTTGACTTACAACCACAACTGAGCGCAACGTTTCTATTGTTAAGTGAGTTTTGTCCCATTTTACGACCTTGCTTGCCACAAGTGTTAAGTGAATCACTGCAGCTGGTAAGTTAGTAACATGGTTGTTAAGTGAATCTGGCTTCCCCATTGACTTTGCTGGTCAGAAGGTCGCAAAAGGAGAACCTGGGACACTGCAACCGTCATAAAGATGAGTCAGTTGCTGAGCATCCGAATTTTGATCACATGATCATGGGGATGCTTCAAAAGTCGTAACTGTGAAAAACGGTTCCAGGTCACTTTTTTCAGTGCTGTTGTAACGTTAAACAGTCACTAAATGAGCTGTTGTAAGTTGGGGGACTACCTGTACCTAAAAAACCTAAAAATCTAAAAAAACAAGCAGCTGCATGGTGCGGCTGCCATTTTGACTTTTTTAACCTCCCCTGCGGACACCCTCCCCCTTCCTGCCAATCATCTTCCAGCCACAAGAGTCAAAAAGCAAAAGGTGTATTCTTTCAAGCTAATAAACCAAGCACAGATCTTCTATAAGAAAAGTCAGTATATTTATGGTTTGCTTTATAAAAGTTACTATAATACAATGGTACATAGTATTCAATTCACAAAAAAATATGAACAAATATTTACAGAATGACACACCCACAACAAAGCAAAACAAAAAAAAAGAAAAGAAAAAGAAATAAAAGAAAACCCAAACCACATTCTTTAAAACAAAAGTACGAACTGATGGCAGAAGCCTAGATGCACAGAAAACGGTCCTACGGGGTTGGTTTTTTTTTTTTTAATACAGTTGTTTAAAACAAAAGGGAACAGAACTTTTTTTCTTAAAAAAATCCTCCATCTCCAAAGCAGAGATTCCTTTCTCTTTTTTTTTTTTTTTTAAAAAATTCATTTATTTCTTTGTTTATTTATTGAAAGAAACATAAAAAATATAGGTCATTTACTGCAAACCATTTTTTAAAAATCCCCTCCTTTTAAAGAAGGCCCTTCGCTCTCTCTCTTTTTTTTTTTCACACTGCAAATTAAAAACTGGTCTTTTTTACAGAATTCATGAAATCAGAACAACGGAGGTCTTTCCCTCTGTTGCAAGACCAAGCCCCTTCCCCAATTTAGAGTGCTTCTTCCCCCCCACACCCCAAACCCTTGCCTCATTTGACAGCTGCAGCGAGAAAGGGAGACCCCCCCCCGCCCAAACTGCCTCTGAGCATACACAGCCTTCTTTGCTGATGCCTGTGATTCTGCAGCTCATGTGTGCAATGAAGCACTTCAGAAGCTCGGCCCCGTTGGGCTGTTTTTTTGTTTTTTTTCATGTCACTTCTACAAATACTAGCTTGGTAATTGTGAAGGAACATTATAAAATAGAAGAAGAATTTAATTTGCAAAAAAACAACAACAACAAAACTTGCAGATTGGCTTAAATACATTTTAGGTTGTCATTAATAGACTGTACACATTTTCTTCGTTTGAAATAAATAAATTTTTTGCACATTAAGGTTATCAGAAAGGCAAATAAAAAAAAAAGCCTCAACTTGGCATTTCTTTTTTTTTTTTTAAATCTTCAGCGTCTTAATGCTTCTAGTTTGATCTACGCATTTGACCCCAAAAAAGTTGAGATTTTGTACAGAATTTACATTATACATAGCTTGACACAAGCTGTAAACGACGCCAGCTTCTCGCTCCTGGGACGACGACCCCCCCCCGCCCTCCCCCAAGACGCTGACTCTCTCGCTGAGGTCTTCTGCTGGCGATTTCTTTTTGTTTTTCTTTAAAAAAAGAACTTCAAACTACTATTTGTCACTTTAACAAATTATTTACATGCTTTTAAAATACAAACAAAACTGCCCCCAACAAACAAAAATGAACAAAACAAAAACAACCCGCCTCCCCCCCCCAAATAAAAACGACGTGTTTCTACAAGAAACAAGGGTTTCGAAGAGAAGACTCGGAAAGGATGACCTATGTACAGGTGATGATGTGTCCGCTTTAAACTTCAAAATTTCATTTGGAACCCCAATCCTCCCACTGGTTTTCTTTAAAAAAAAAAAAAAACTTTATACAGAAATGCACTGAAATGATCCCTGAAAATAGGTTAAAAAACAAAAAGGACAAAAGTGAAATAATAATATTTCATCCGAGTTTTAAAATGTGCCCCACCCACCCACCTCCCCGTGGCAGAAAGAGGCTGTTTGGAGGAGATAAGCAGCTTCCAGAGTTGATTGGCTCCCTCCTGAATTCCCAAGGATGAACCTCAAGCTGGAAACCCGGGTGTGGGGCGAACGTCTGAAAGCTAGCCTAGCTAGGAGGTCTGGGGCTCAAAGTACAGAAGAGTGTTTCCCAAGTAACCGTGGCGTGAGAACTCAAGCAAAGATGAGGCTGATCTTTCTCACTCCACCTCGGGAGAGAAGAGGTGAGATGTGGGCACGTTCTCCAAGCGATGGCCTTCTTCTTGGGGATCCAGCTGAGGAACCTCAAGAAGGAGAGCCGGAGGACCTGTCTGTGGTCACAGCTAGGCCCCTTTGAGCTGTCACTAACCCCCCCCCCTCTCCTTTATTTAGGATGGAAGAGAATTTGCCAAGATCAAATTCTTTTCAGTAGAAGAAATCTAACCATGATTAGAGCAGGAAAATCCACGGAGAAACCTTGGATCTAGGAAGGAATCCGTTTCCACGTATCTCAACGCTTCAGCTCTCCCCTTCTCTTCCTCTTGTGCCCCAGCGTGGCTAAGATTAACCAGCAGAATCAAAGTGACAGCAATAGACCTAGGGATACACTTCCCTATATTTCATTTTGCACTTAGAAGAAGAAGAAAAAATAAAAGGGGGGGGGGAGAGAAAGTTCATAGATGTGAGAGAGGTCACAAGGAAGCTTTTCCTGCACAAGCTGCTACATACATTTCAGAGTATGCCTGTGTGGAGAACTTCCCGGTGGGTTTACATTCACAGCATGAAAGGGAATGAAGAAAGTGACAGACAGCCATTACCTGGTCTGAATTATGGGAGACAGACGTGGATTTGTCTACGATGGGAGGCATCACGTGCCAGACACTGACAAGCCTCAGGAGAAATGGCGAGACAGCCGGGAGCAGGGAAGAGAATCAGAGCCAGAACTGCTCTCTCCTTCCTTCTTGATCAAATCCAACTTCTCCACCTTCAAGGTCGAAGAAGGACACCTCTACAGACTTAAGGAGCTGGGCGGAGGTTGCTCCTGCTTCTTCCTGTCCACTAAGCTTAGAGAAAGGCCTGGCGTCCACTTCTTTAGGCCTCAAGCCACAGAGGTCAGCCGGCACACCAACCAATTAAGGAACATCCAGAAGAGTTGGCTAGCAACGTCCTACCGTCTTATAAAGGGCAGAACACAGAAGCCAACGTAGGCTAAACCACAGGTTTGTGGGGAGGAGAAGGAAAGGGGTTAGGCGTGTCTAAAATAATTTTTAGGCCACCTCTGCTTGCCTCTGCTTTTAATCTAGTTGATGGGTTTTTAGCAGGGGCGAGTTTCAAGGCCAGAGAATTCAACCAGAGACTAGGAGGCGCCCGAGGTGGGCTAACAATCCAAGTTTTGCCCCTCAATTTGAAAGTGAACCCTTCAGCCCCTCACCTGGCTATCACCCTAGAGAGGCGTCCCCTTCTCTGATGTTTGAACCTACTTGGTTTGCTGCAGGAGGACCACCTTGGAGACCATTTTGACAAAAAGGTTGGTTTGAAAAGTCTTTGCTCTCAAGGCGACGCCAGAGTGGTAGGTGGTGGACACAACAAGGATAGAGCCAGGGTGCCACCTTGTAGCTGCCCAACTGGCCTCTACCAAGCTGGCTTAGCTGCCAAGCAAGACTTGGGTCCTCCTGGGCTACAAAGACTAACCTGCTCGCATGACCAGGAGGTTGAGAGGAACGCCAAGACACTGCCAGAGAGGAAATGGCAGCTTTTGCTTTGGGGTTCTGAGCCACTCTAGGAGTTGAGTCCACCCTGTCCTCTATTCCCTGGGAGGGCACCGCTGTCCTCCTTCTGCCCCACAGGGAGGAACGACGGGTGCCCGGCAGGCAGCAGGGCCTGGTGGACTCAACCCAAGAGGGAGGGACCTTCTCTGCTTTCAAAACCATCAGGCACAGCTACGCTGGTGAGGGACGGAGGGGTTTTCAAAAGGAAGGCGAGGATGCTCCTCATTCTATACCTGGAACTTCACGAGTGAGCATGGATTTCCGATCTCTGATTTCTTTGCATTCAGAAATTGAAGCAAGCCTGGTGGGATGAGACACCCCAGCCCCCCCATGGCCGTTCACCTGGACGTTCCTTAAGAGCTTCAGCCACCTGCAACTCCATATCGAATTGACTCCAGTTTATGGATCCTCCCCTTGTTAATCCCCCTCCCCGTCTCCGCTGGATGTATTTCAACCGTTGAAGATCCTCGCTCGCCCCCCTGCTCTCCAAGAGCCACCCCCACCCCCCAAACCTGCAAATGAACGAGGAAAAGTAGCAGCATCTTATGAAGAAAGTCATGTTTTTAACGAAAGGACAAAATACCTGGCTGTGCCCAACGGGAGCTGGGCTGATGCGGAGCAGGTGGGCAGGGAGTTAAAAAATAGTGTTTTGATGTCGGAACAACTCGGGAGCAGACGAGGGATTTGATGAGAAGCACCTGCAGCACGAGAAGTCCTGGTGTGCGTGTCTGAAACTGGCGGGTCTCCTTCGGGAAGGAGAGGACGTGCCCAGCGGATTGGGTTTCTCTTCTTTCACTCTCCCATTTTTCTTTCCTTTCCCTACTTCCTTCCATTCTTTTTTCTCCCTCCTTTTTTGGCAAAAGCGCGGCCGAGCACCCTCGGACCCCTGCAGTCTGGAGGCCGCCGATGCCTGGCCCGCCACGGGGGCTTCTAGTTGAGGGTCCCTCGGCAGTTCTCGGAGCCGCACAGGCAGGGGATCTTGACGTCCTCGATGGGGAACTTGTAGTCGTAGGTGATTTCCTCGTTGACGCCGATGTGCTGCTTGGAGTAGATGACGATCTTCTTCTGCGACTCCACCGTGACGACCTTCGCGTAGCAGTTGGGCTGCGGGGAGAGAAGAGAGGTGAGGGCTGGCGGCCGCCTGTGGTGCCCAGCCCGCCACGGGAGCCTCGGGTGAAAGAGGGCCTGCCGAAGTAAGGAAAGACTCACGTTGCAGCTGTGGTTGATGAACCGGGCAAAGTTCCCACACTTGGTTGCGTCGATGATGGTGTCGTGGTCCACTCGGAACATGTAGCTGCTCCCGATGCCTTCGTCTTCATAGCGCTTCTCCCGCATGTCCGCGATTACCTGTGAGGGACACCTTCAGTCAGGCCCAATTATGCGCTGGGGAGGGAGGGAGGGAGAAAGTTGGGAGGGAGGGCAATGGGACCCAGACAAAGGGCAGCTGCTGAAGGTAGCAGGATTTCAAAGGGGAGCACAATAAAAGCCAGGGTGTCCCCAGAGCCAGACAGAGCAGGGATACCCCTGACCCTCAAAACTGGCCTAGCAGTTATAAAAGGCAGAGCCGAGAGAAGGTCTGTGGTCAAAGGCCGGAAAGGGTCTTCCGGGCAAAGGAGGAAGGCAGAAAGAAATGGGATGCTGCCCTCCCCTCGGCTGCCGGTCTTCAGTTTCTTAATGTTTCACCAGGATTGGGAGAGCTTCTGTAGCAGCATCCGGGGACAGGGTTACCTGTGGCAGCTTACCTGTCGGATGTTTTGGCCCACGTACTCGATCACCATCTCGTCGGCAGCAATGGGCTCCATGGCAAAGAGCCCCCAGTCGTGAATGTGACTCTTGCAGAACTTTAGCTTTTTCTTCCGGAACTGCGGAGCGGAGGCAGAAGACAGATTGATAAAAAAAAATAAAAATCCACCCTGGGAAAGCGCTAAGCTTCCTGCTTGCCAGGCCACAATCTAAGGCAGAAGTAACCCTCAAAACGGAGAGGCGGGGGGGGGCTTTTGGAAATGCTGATGACCCTTTGTCCTCGTTTAGCAACCACAACAGGATCGGGCAACTTGGTCATTAAGTGAAGTATTTGCGAAGTGAAACTGCAACCGTGCTTACGCTCCGACTTCGGCTTTCCTTGGCTTTACACACCTGCGAAGGCCGTCACTGCGAGGACAGGGGCAAAGCTGCTTTTTCATCCCTGTCGCGCCGGGGAATGTTGCTGAACAAGGCAGTCATTAAAGGAGGACTACTTGCAAACTGTCGGGCTACACGGTAGGGTTGCGTGACACAATTGCCTGTCCTGTCCTAGCCTGTCTCGGGAGGATTTGTACATTTTGGCTTTATTTTTCTACCCCTGCCCCATCTAACCCTTCCCTGTGGGGTCCTTGTCCTGCTTCTCCCAGGCCTACATCCCTCGGGGACAGCCCCACAACTCACCTTGAGCTGGTTGAACTTGAGCAAGTCGCTGTCGCAACTTCCAGTAAAGGATGACAGGAGCCTGCGCTGCTCTGACCGCCGCTCGGAGCCGGCCCGGGTGGAAACATGCAGCTGAGCAGGGATGCTCATTCCCTGTGGGGAGAAAAGGGTCATCCCAGGGCAGGCAGAGGTGGCATCCGGGGTAAGGGGGCCTCACTCAGGTAATCCTCAACTTACGGGCCACAATTCAGCCCAAAATCTCCACTGCTAAGTCAGACAGTTCTTAAGTAAGTCCTTGACTTACAACCGTTCGTTTAGTGTGACCGTTCGAAGTCGCAAGGGTGCTGAAAAAAGGGGCTCATGACCGTTTCCCACACTTATGACCGTAGCAGCATCCCATCGCTATGGCCAGGTGATCAAAATTCTGACTGACTCGTATTTATGACGGTCGCAGTGTCCCGGGGTCACGTGATCCCCTTCTGCAACTTTCTCACAAGCAAAGTCAATGGAGGGTTCACTTAACGACTTAGCAAGAGTGGTGATTCACTGAACAACTGGGCCAAAGAAGGTGGTAAAATGGGGCTAGACTCACTTAACAACTGTCTTGCTTAGTGACAGAAATTTTGGGCCCAATTGTGGTCGTTAACTCCAGGACCACCTGCACTGGTGTAGAATTCCCTTTTTCTCCTTTTCTCCACTCAACAAAATTCAAGGCAAGTCTGCTTCAAAGGTCCAAATCCTTCGGGTCACGGCCCACCAGGGCAGCCCCCTCACCTGCGTATCGGTGGGAGGGTCTTCTGCAAACGCCCGGCTATTATTGAGGTATTTCAGCTTGTCCTTCTTGTCGATCTTGTAATAGCCTTCACTTCGGGCACAGCCGGTGACATGTTCCCGCATCCCATCGTCCCGTTTCTTCTTCTTTGGGGTGAAAAAGCTGGTTGGTAGCGGGATGTTAAGGGAAAAAAAACCCAGCAGCAGGGGTTGTTAAATGCTCCCCCCCCCCAAGAAATAAACAGTGGGGGTGAAGGGGAAATTCAGTGTGTGTTCCAGGCAGAGTGCCAGCTGGGGGTTTACTTGTAGACGGGGCTTCTCTGTAGGGGCACCTACCTGATGTCGCCTACCTAACGGTGATACCCGTCTCTAAATAAGTGTTTCTCAACCTTGGCCCCTTGAAGGAGGGTGGGGAATTCTGGGAGTTGAAGTCCATCCGTCTTCAAGTGGCCAAGGTTGAGAAACGCTGTTCTTGCAAGTTACTTGCAGGTGGGTCTTCTCCAGAAGACACCTACGCTCTGGTCCAAAATTATCCCCCTGGTCCAAAATCTGTGAATATCTGGCAAAGGATATGAGGATGGTACACCCACAGAGTGTCGTTGAGCCAATCCATGCCGTTGTCTTGCTGCAACAAATGGTCGTAGGTGACGCAGAGGAACTGGATGTCCTCTTCGTCGATCCCTCCATTCCAGATGTCGTACAAAATGGTCATCTCCTCGAACTCGGAGCGGGGCCGGAATTGGAACCGAGGGGGAGAGTACTCGGGAGAAGGGATCTGCGGGACGTCATCGGGCCTCTTCTTCTGCCGCCTCCACTGCTGCCTTTTGGCCTTCAGGTAGCCCTCTTCTTCTTTGAAGTCCTCGTTCCACTGGTTCTCCAACTCCTTGAAGGGCAGCTTCTCCACCAAGACGTCGGGAGGGAGTTTCTCGTGGAAACCATCGTTCCGGAAGTCCAAGGTGACCGCTTCCGGGTCTTTCAGAGCGTAGAAGCCCTCTGGGTGGCTACCAAACAGCTCTTTGTTCACAGGACTTTCCGCCAAGGCCACCGGGATGGGAAGCAGGGGAGGCTCTACGGGCTTGTCCGAATAGGCCTCCAACAGGGGTCCTAAAGGAGAAGCTCGTTTCGGCCGGCCCGGTTTCCTTTTGATGGGGAGGATGGAAGAGGGGGTGGCCGGAGGGAGAGGGGGCGAAGCCATGGGGATGTCCGGGAAGGGCAAGATGGACCTTGGATCCTGACCGCACTCCTCTAGTGCCATCTTGGAGTCCATGAACAAGCAAGGCTGAACTGTGAGAGGCTGACCAGGGGCCAAGTCCAAGTGGGTGTGGAAAGCTGGCACAGGGGGGCTGGCAAAGGGGATAGGGGAGGGCACGCTGTTCACGCCAGCCAACAGGGAAGCACCGAGAGGTTCTTTGAAGACTTTCTCGTCGGGGTCCTCCTCCGACGGCTTCTTGCTCGAGAGAAGGCAAGGGAGGGCAGTAGCACCAGGCTCGGGGAACGTAGGCGTGAACGTGAAATCCCGCCCAGGTGTCCGTGGAATGCCCCCGCTGTTGATGCCAGGGGATTGGGACGGGTACGAGAAAGGGCTGCCTGGCACCGGAGGAGAACTCAGAGTCAGACTGCTTCCGGTGAGAGGCGCGTCGCTCCCTGGCGTGGCGGGGATCGTGTCTGTGCTGTGGGACTTGGAGAGACTGTGGGAACACTTGGCTAAAATGTCCCGCCCCGGCGTCCGGGGCAGCTCCTCTTCTAGTGCTGTCTTGCTTGGGCCTAAGTGATCGTGGAACTTGTCCGGAAGGAGCAAGTATTCCTCTTTATGAGGTGCAACGGAGGACAGGGGAAGGGAGCAGGGCGGCATGGTGGAGAAAGGAAGCCCGGTGGACTCCAAGTGAGTCACCACTTCCCTCCCGGGAGTCCGAGGAAGCTGGTCCTCCTCGGCCTCAGCTGCGCAGGGCGATCTGCCTTTTGCTTGGATTTCTAAAGTGCTGTCATTGGGCTTAGTAAAGGAGGTCCTGTTGGACAAGACTTCTCCAAAGAGTTCCACCGGGGTTGGAGGACGGAGGCCTTCACTGTCCTGGGCGACCGGTTTAGGACCATCCAGCATCTCAGGCTCCAGATCGACGTCTGCTTCAGACTCCTCCGCTGGGAGAGGGAAAGAAACAGAGGCATGAAGGACCACCATCACGTTCTTCAACCTTCTCTGTTATAGGCATGGAAGGAACTTAGCGTCTGACTGAGAAACAGGATTGTTGTCCATGCCAATCTACCCAAAACTAGCCCCAAAGGTCCCTTTTTTGTAAGCAACGTGAAATATGGAGTCCTCGGTGCTCACTGAACTTGACTGCTGGCTGCAGACATTTCATGACCCAACTAGGTAACATCACCAGGCAAGCCAACCACGAAGTTCGGAGAGGCTCAAGAACTCCACAGTTCTACCCTGAGCTACAGAGATTCTCTTCTATTGTAACATGAAGTACTCTTGATGTAAAAATAAGATACGTATTTACTGCAGGCCGGACCATACTCTCTTGCAAAAGTGATCATATGTTTTGGAAGACTCCATGTATTTTACCACAGCTTAGAAATTGTGTCCCTCTAAGCTTAAAATTCCTCAATCACAATGCGTACTTCCACCTGAGCAAAGGCTCCAGTGTGCCTTAATTTTAAATACTGAAAAAAAGAGAACTTTTGAGCAACTTATATTTACCAATATTTGTAGCTTAGGGTTGAAAGGGAGGGTCCTTGCATGTTCTCCGAGCTTGGTTGCTTTCTTGCAGATGTTTCATTACCAAACTAGGTAACATCATCAGTGCTGATGTTACCTGGTTTGGGTAATAAACGTCTGCAAGAAAACAACCAAGCTCAGAGAATACCAAGGACCCCCTCAACTTATATTCATATAATGTTATATAACTTATATAAATAGATTAAAGACATCGCCGGAGCGTCACCCAATCCTTAATTAATATTTGGGCCTTGAGTTACCTGGGGACATTAAGAATCAGCCCTTATTTTCAGGTCGCGCTTAAAAAACAACAACCCCTAAGTCTTAGAAACCAAGAAGTAGTAGGTTGAAGATGGGCTTGACGGAGACTGCAAGCCAGGCGATGGCTTAGCGTGATGGGTGAACTCAGCCCCCGGGAGACGCCTCGCCGGAAAAAGGAAGAGGGCAAGATCCTACCTGTCCTACACATTGGAGACAGCCGGAGCGTCTCCTCCTGACATCTCTCCATCACCACCAGCACTTCGGCAGCCGAGGACTCCTCGGGAATCTCCTGGTTCTGCTCTTCTGCTGGCCTGGTGTCTTCTTTCATCTCTCCTCCTTCTGGAGCTGAAGGGTCTGCCAGGGCCAGGGGGATGTAGTCCTCCTCCACCGGAAAGAGTTCCAAGACGGTCTCTTTTTCGTCCTCATCTTCCGGTCCCGGAGGGAGGGATTCGAGGGCCAGTTCAGCAGGCAAGGTCTCCCTCACTTGCGATAGAGAGAGCCCCTCGTCATCCTCCATCTGTTCCTCGTAATTTTCACCCCCCTCCTGCTCATCTTCTTCTTCCTCCTCCTCCTCCTCTTCCTCCTCCTCTTCCTCTTCTTCGTCTTCATCATCAGAATCAGAACTGGTCCCGAATTCTGAGGATTCCTCACTCTCATCAGACGACTCGAGTTCTGCTCTGGAAGAGGCAGGACTTCCTAGATCTTCTGCTGGAAGGCAAAACATTTCTGGTTCATTCTGATTTTAATTTTTTTTCTCCTTGGTTTAGAACAGACCAGAGAAATCCGACGTTTCTGTCGGTTTCCCACCTGATTTTACTCCTTTTGCTGCACAGCCTCACTAAAGGCAAAACCTCTCTGATCTTACTAAAGTTATCTGAGCTGGCAGCCACTGTGGCGTCCCAAACACAACTTTACCTAAAGCCCTTTTATATTGCAATGAAATATTCATTAGAAAACTGGCCAATCTGATATTTGGTAAGGGATACAGCCAAGCAAAGTCAATGGGGGAAGTCGGATTTGCTTAACGGCCGCACACGTCACTGAACAAGTGCAGTGACCGTTGACAACGGCGGGAAAGAAGATTGTAAAATCGGGAGCAAACCATTTAACCACCATCTTGCTTAGCCAGGGAAATTCTGCAATTGTGGTCATAAGTCGAGGACTACCTGTGCAAAACTCTCTCCTTTGGCTACTCCTTCGTTCGGAATATCGTCAGCTTTTGGTAATTCTTCCCCCCTCCCCCAATGTGTTAAAAACCAACATGCTGTTTCCAACTTCTGATAAAGCTGCACACCTTCTTCAGAATCTTGATCCTCTTCCTTTTCACTGATTTGTGCTTCTGTCTCCTCTTCTTCCTCTTCCTCCTCCTCCGCCTCTTCCTCTACCTCCTCCTCTTCTTCGTTGACATCTTCCTCTTCCTCCTCTTCCTTAGAAAGAAGGAATTTGGAAAGCTCAGCAAATACATTTGGCCCAGGGGTGAGAGAAAAGGTGTGGGCCGAGAACTGGCATTAGGGTAAGAAGCCTCAGCCCTCCGTGACCTATTTAACAGGCAGACCGAAAATTATGGGGGTCGGTCCGAGATGTATCTCCAGGGCACCGGGTTGGGAAGAACCAACCTAGATAAACATAAGTGCCAGCCACAGACCGACCACGTGGTAGTCTGAGTAGCAAAGTTTTACTCTCAAAGGCAGGGCATTGAGGAAGAATATAAATAAAGAGATCCTTCAATCCTGCCGACTTCACTAGAAACACCTCCAAAGTAAGGAGAGTAAGGTGGCTTCAGGCTGTAACCCACTTGAATCCTGACTGTCCTCTTCCTGGATGTAACCGAGGACTCTGGGACAGCCTTCAGTGCCATCATTTACCTGGGCATTTGTCGTGCTAGTAACCCACTCCTGTGGATAAAACGTTTTATGAGTGGCCTACAAGGTGAGGTTCAGGGTTCTAAGGATCTTTTGATTCCTCGTCACTTATGTCATTGTGGAACTGAAGAGAGCTCAGGTGTCTACCTTGTCGGACACGGATTTCATGACCCCTTCCTCTTCCTCCCGTTCTGCCTCCTTTTCCGAAGAGGATTCCTCCTCCTCCTCCTCTTCTTCCTCTTCCTTGCCCGAGTCTTCCTCCTCTCCTTCGCTGTCCAGTTCCAGTGGCCTGGCCGGTCTTCTTCGGAGGCCCACAGCATCCGGATCTTTCCTGGAGAGCTCCATGGCTGCATCGGGCAGGTCTCGATCTCGTTCAGATTCTAAGGATAAAACAGGCGTGTTGAGGGGAGGGAAGAGAGTCAGACACAACTTTTGAGAAGTCACAGATAAGCAGATTGGACACGGTTAAGCTCCTTGAGCCAAATAAAAGCTTAGAGACGTAGCGTTGTCACGCACGCAGTGCGTGATATGGGGCCGGCAAGGTTGCCAGTTGTTACAGGGGACACTGTGTGCCGGTTCACGCAATTTATACTAAGTCAAAAATGCAGTTGGTTTGGTTTGACTTAGGTTATGTGAAAATGCTCACCCCTGCATGCGCTCTCTAGGGAGACTAATTTATTTACTTATATTTGCCATTCAGCCTTTATTGCTGTTTAGAAATAAGGAGGTGAAAGCACACAATACTCTTTCCTTTCCCCACTACAACAACCCTTGAGGTGGGCTGGGCTGAGAGAAATGGACTGGCCCAAAGTCACCCAGCCAGTTTTTCCATGCTTAAGGCGAGACTTGAACTCATGGTCTCCTGGTTTCTAGGCCAGCACTTTAACCACTATACATGCTTAATATTCCCAGTTCACCCTCCTGGGCATGCTTTCAAGATATTATCAAGGTGCTCTCTGCACACTTTGTTTGGTCATACGTGGAGCAGTGGGGTTTAAGCCAGCCATGCCAAACTTAATCCTACTGGTTCTATTCTGATCACGGGTTAAGCCTAGCTCTAATCTGAAAGAGGAGGAAGCAAAGGCTAGCACCTTCATCTTCATCATCTACGGAGGTAGATGGCCGAATTCGCTTCTGGTCTCCAGCTGAGGCAGCTTCAGGTGGTTCCTTTCTCTTCACCTGAAGAAAACAGAGAACGAAATCTCTTTTGGGAAGGGGTGATTTGCTAGTTGTCTTGCCTTAAGACTCACAAAAGTTTAAAAAGAGGCTGGCTACAGAAGAGTGTGAAAACAGATTTCTTATACTTACAAATCATTCGTTTATAGACCATTTGAAGTTATGACTGTTAAGGGGGCTATGGCCAAGACCTTAAGCCCCGATCATGCTGTTCTTAGGTCTGCTATGGGACTTCTAATAATTTATCAAAAGTTGTCCGATCCAAGGAGATGAAATCTACACCCATGTAAGGCGCTCCCAAATAATTGCTCTTCTGAACCTGTGGTGCTCTCTCTAGAGAGAGAAGACCATTGTTGGTTCCAATACACCTGCTAGCTGTCAATAAGAGCTAAGCAATCCAACATTCCTTGAACAGGTCCTATAATCTAACATAAGGTCAAAGTTCAGGGCCTAAAATCTGCACTGGACATCAAAGCAAACACCCACTTCCCATTGTTGAATGCTCTTACCTTAAAAGATGGTAACCGGATGGCCCCTCGTAGCCCAATTCCCAAGCCGATCCCTTCGTATCCCAACCCTTCTCCTTTATTCCAGTTCTCCAGAAGACAGGAGGTGATGCGGTCCTTTGGTTTTGGCTTTTCCTCATCTTTCTGGTCCCCAGATTTTACCGGGGTCAAAGATGCCTGGGAAAGACAGGCAAGATCTCACTTTGGGGCCAAAGGAGCCTTTTCTATTCTATTCCTTTCCTATACTCTTGTATTTCTCTGAACAGATGCAGTCAGCTGATCTATCCCCATGAAGATGACCAGAGCTTTCTTGATTTAAATTTCACAGGAGAAATTCACCATGAATAAACCCTGGGAAGCTAAACCCAGCCCCACACAATCTGGACATCGACCTTGTTTGCTGCAATTATTCCCAGATTAACTGCTGGATCTTCACTTGGTCTGATCTTACATTCATGGCTGCAAACAGGATGAGTTTTATTACCCAGTTTAAAACTGTATATTGCCAGAATCTGGACTTTTAGTAAGGGTCACCCGCAGCAGAAAGCTATCTGAACTCAACGCTATTATATCATCAATTCAAGATTGTATTCATGTCTGAAAACAGGCTGATGTTTTATGGGTATTCAAATACATAGCATATTGAATCATGTCATTGGAGACAAGAAAATAGATGATCTAGACTGGTGTTTTTCAAACTCAACCAATTTAAGATGTATGGACTTCAACTCCCAGAATTCCTTAGCTAGCACGAGGAATTCTGGGAGTTGAAGTCCACAAGTCTTCAAATGGCCAAGTTTGGAGACCCCTGCTCTAGAAAATCAAGGCTAATTAATTTCACCAACTTCTTACCTTAGCGAGACGTTCTTTCTTGTCCCACCAATCGTCAAACGCCCGGAATGCCACCACTTCCACCATCTTCTTGTTCAAATCCCTTTTCATTATTGCTTTGAGCTCCTTCACGATCACCAAAAGGACGCCGTCCACTGTGGCCTTGTGCGGGTCTTCCTTCTTGGGCTCATAACCCGGCGGGGGGACGGAGGGGTCAAACCTGGGCAAGGGGGGCCACTGTTGCCCCCGGTTCATAGCTGCCCCCATGGAGAAATGCCGGTAGGGAGGGAGGTTCACGAACTGCATCCGGTTGCTCACGAAGGGGGGATACTGGTAGGTGTTTTGCCCCTGCATCAGGCGGCTGAGCATCTGAGTTTGCATTTGGAAAGACATGGACAGCCCCCCCCACTGGTTGCCCAGCACGCTGATCATATCCATCTGCATCAGAGGAAACATCCCGGGATGGAAGGGAGGGAGAGGGGGCAAGATATGAGGGGGAGGGACCCCTGGAGGGGTTGGGAGGGGCGGAGGGGGGACGGGGACGGCTGGGTGGGTGGGAGGAGGCGGGGGAGGAAGAGGAGGAGGCATCGGGAAGACCGTCTGGGGAGGTGGCGGAGGAGGCAGCGGAGGAAAGCCGTGCGGAGGCATTGGGATGGAGCTGCCGATGGAGGTGTTCACCACAATGTTCTTGGCACATTCTGCGCTGGGCGATTCGCTCATCTCGTCATCCGAGATCTCCATGTCTTCCCCTGAAGATTGATGACACTGGGAGGGAGGGAGGGAGGGAGAAGAGGAGGAGAAAGGTCCACCTTAGACCGGATCAGAAGCAAAAAAGAACCCTGAACTCGAGAGGATCTTCAAAGCTCATCCACCCCCCAAAAGTGCTCTTCATATCAACCTAAATAGATAAATAAATGACTCCACCAAAGATACACCTTGAGCGGTTTTGCTGCTCTGAAAGATACTCTCATACTGGCTGGGTTGTTGAACGTAACCCGACAGGACAGAGTAAATAAAAAAAAGGTGTTTTGCCATGAGAGGTGGGTCTCTCCTCTCCCCCCCCCCTTCCCGCCACAAGCAATCCAGTTGCTAAACTGAAGAATAAAAGCGGTTCTGAGAAATCTCCAATCTGGGTTTAATCAAGACAACTTTGATCCAACTGTGACCACCAGAGGGCGCTGTTGGCAAAGAGTGAAATTTATCTTCTGCAGTGTTTCTTCAGCAGCCTGGAGCTCCCCGCAGACGAGGGGTTTGCAGTCAGTAGAGGTCTTCCTACTGGGTGCAAGAATCTCCTGTGGCGTCAACCTTGTAGGAAGGTCTCCCAAGGAGAAGATAAAGCAGAGACCTCCAAAGAATCTCTTCTGCTGCTGACCTTGTAGGAAGGAAGGTCTCCAGAATAGAAGACAAAATAGATCTCCAAGGGGGAAGACTCACATATTCTCCCATCTTGACTCTAAAGCTATGTGCCCAGCCTGATCATCATGGCCTGTGCTATTTGGAGACCTTGGGAGGTGCATGCCTTCTCTAAAGTGTAATTATAATGAAATATTTTTAGAAGACAGGAGAGCACAGAAAACAGAATGGGAAGCCACCAACTACTCCAAACCCAACCCTCCTTTCACCAAGTTTTGCCGTCCCAAGCCATTGCTTGAGTGTGAATCCAAGCACAATCAAGGGGACGTCAGCTTGAAAACCAACACCATCAACAAATTGTAAAAGAAAAGAAAAACGTAACTTCAAAAGGTCTGCAGGGTTTGAAGATACTCTTTGTTTACGTTCAGGAACTGCCTTCACCAAGAAATAGGAGCGCCTTTGATTTTTTTAAAAATGTAAATGTGAGAAACATCAGGCAGAGGGATGGTCAAGAATAGTCACTTTGCATCAGTTCCATATTTCTTTCTCAGCAAACACCCTAGCCCAGGGTCTGCCCTTTGTGCTAAGAAACCTACTGGAAGCAAAAGCCCATTGTCTGACACCTGTCACCTGCCAGAGACTGAGACCAGTGCCTAAGTACAGCAACAGCTGCAAATCCATCCAGATGCTTCTTCCTCGCCGGGAGGAGAGAAAATTGAACAACACGGGGTTTCGTTTACACTGCTTTATTCAATTCTCACAGGAAGGAAATTTAAGCTGATCTTTGGAGACCCAAAGAATGAAGCGAGATCTTCTCCAGAGAATTGCAGCTCGCTCCCAAGACTACCTGGGTTGTAGAGAAATGCCACAGCGGTGTGTGTTTGTGCCACACCATCGGACAGGCTCAGGTGCTGTTTTGTAATGAGTGCCTGCCTCCCACTAGGAGGACTTGGGGTGGGGGGAGGAGAGACAAATGAGAACACTTGAGAAGAAGGAAACCCAAGAAAAGATCTAACGTCAACACCAACCGTTTCTTAAAAGCTACAACATCACTTGGTTTAAACTACACCAACTTGGAAAGCCTCAAAGCTAGATCAGACACATCAGCATGAAGGAGGGACTGTTGTCTACAATCACAACTATCTTTGTAATCTTCAATGTCTTTATAGTTATATTAGCTGAGGTCAATAAATCAGCAGAAGCCAGCGTTATCACTTAACTGGTTAATTAGGAAGAGCTGGTAAAAGGTTTTCCAATTAAGCATATTTTTGGACCAGCCATAAACACCAACGATAGGAGAGACCAACAGATGAATGCTTTTAGCTGGAGAAGAAGAGAGGAGAGACTGGAGAAAGAGGAGAAGGAAGGGAAAGGGAAAGAGAGAAGAACCACTGAATTTAACTCAGTAGCCAGCCAGGGCGAGAATTATGTATATAAAGGTAGTCCTCGACTTAACAAGAGTTTGTTTAGTGACCGTTCAAAATTACAAGGGCCCTGAAAAAAGGACTCGTGATCATTTTTCACACTTACAACCACTGCGGCATCCCCAATGGTCATGTGATCAAAATTCAGAGGCTTGGCAACTGACTCCTATTTATGACGGCTGCAATGTCGCCGGGTCATGTGATCGCCATCTTTTGCGACCTTCCAACAAGCAAAGTCCACGAGGAAGCCAGGTTCACACGGAACAACCTTGTTACGGACTTCACTTCGCAACCGTGGCAAGAAAAGGTTGCAAAATGTGGCAAAGCCCGCTTGGCAAATGGAGGTGAGAGGGCCGAAGGATTGCAGGGGAAAATACAAAGAAAACCCCGTGCCAGGAAGGCTGGCACCAGAAGAACCGATGATTTCTCGACCCTTCTCTATAATCTAAGGAACGTGCAATTGGATCCTGCGTGCATCCGCTGGGAATAAATCCTATCACGTTCAAGAGGGCTGAGGGATAAAGACAGACAGACAGACAGACTGAAAATACTTGTAACTCAGGTTTTAGATGTTGGCATTGGTTTGCTCTCCAAGCTTCTTTCAATTTAGTTTCTGAACGTTTCGTTACCAGACTAGGTAAACATCATCAGCAGGATTTTCTTGACAAGGAATTCCTGCTGATGATGTTACCTAGTCTGGTAACGGAACGTTCAGAAACTAAACTGAAACAAGCTTGGAGAGCAGCAGACAGACGGAACCCGACTCAAGATTTGCAAATATCTCAAGTAAATTAAATCCCTCTTCTTTCAGTGACAGCCAGATATTTAGCTATTATCGTCTCTCACCTTTTTGTGGGAAACAACACCCAGTGTATCACAATACAATACAATACAATACAGCCGCTCATAAAAATATGCAAACTCCTTTTAAAAAGCCATTCAAGGGAAAACAAAAGCATCCACCGTCCAGTGGATCAATTGCTCCTGGAAAGAAATTTGACAAAAACGCTCCCGGGAAGTCTTATTGCATGACGGAAAACAGAAGCATCTTTCTGCTAAGCCCCAACCAGCTGACATAGAGGGGAATTTCCATCACACAGCTTGCATAGCATTGGCTGGGATTTTTAAAATTTTTTTTATTTCCAATATTAGCAAATCAATGTCTTTGTGCATAAATGGAGTAATTCTCCCCCCTCCTCAAATCTCCGGTGTAGTCTAAACATTTCCAAAAGGATATGATATTCAAGCAGAATAAAAGATCCAATTTTACATCTTGAACATCTCATGTGTTATAAAGTGAACGTAATCCGTGTTTATTACACCACCTGTCATCCTCGATTTACGACCAAATTCGGACCAGACCTTCTATTGCCAATATGAGAACTGGTCATAAATACCATTTTTCAGCGTCATTGTAACTCTGAATGGTCATTAAACGAATAGTGGTTAAGTCAAGGGCTACCTGTACACCCTTGGGTGCAGAGTCCAATGGATTTCTCAGACAAGGTGGAATGTCTGAAGCTCCCACCGATACTCACAACGCACTGAAAAAAGTGACTTGTACCATTTTTCACACTTAGTTCGTGGCAGCGTTCCTGGGGTCCCCTGATCAAAATTCAGACGCTTGGCAACCAGAATTTGTGACGGCCGCAGCGTCCCCTTTTGCCACCTTCTGACAAGCAAAGTCAACGGGGAAGCCCGACTCACTTAACAACCGTTTGACTCATTTAACAACTGCAGTGATTCAGTTAACAACTGTGGCAGGGAAGGTCGTAGAATAGGGCAAAGGTCACTTAACCACTCCCTTAGCAACAGATATTTTGGGCTCCACTGTGGCCGTAAGTCGAGTTACTACCTGCGCATCTGCTCCCTTACCTCTTCCATTTTCTCTGGCGGGGGGCTGCTGCTCAGGGGCTGCATTTCTTTCGCCTCCAAGGGCTCCGATTTGGAGGTCCTGCTCAGCTGCTCCACAGGGGTGGTGCTCGCCTCGGCTGCTCCTCTCGCATTCTGGCAGGCAGAAGCCGTCCCGACGGGCTCATCATCGTCGTCCGAATCGGGCAACGGGGTCGGGCTGATGTCTTCCAAGCCGGTGCTGGAAGGGCGCGAGGAAGGGGTTTGTGCTTGGTAGCTGGGCTGCGAGTTTGGGATGGGGGACAGCTGGGACGAGGACGAGGAAATGGGGCTACCTTCCATTCGAATCTCATTGTCCGAGTCGTGCTCGTTGATAAAATAGAGTTTTGTTCTCTGCTCTTTTAAAAGCATTTCGATCCTCGAGTCCAAACTGTTATGCTGAGTTTCCGATTCTACGGTCGGGGTGCCGGGCGTCTCGCTCCCTTCCGGAGTCTGGCTGAGGGACGCCCCAGTGGAGGGCTCATTAAGACTGTCGGGTTCGGGGGGCGGGGGCGGCGGAGGAAGAGGAGGGGGCTCCTCGGGTTTTTCCTTTGCAGGAACAAATTCAACAGGAGGAGCTGGGCTACTTTCCACAGTCACCTCTGCGGGAGGCGGGGGCGGAGGCCGCCGGTATTCAACCTCCCGGGACGTTTGAGAAAACGGGGGCTCTTCGGGCTGAGGGGGGTACGCGGCTGGCGCTTGATAGGGGGAAAAGGCAGACTTGTACGTCGAAGCACCTGAGTGGCTCACTGGGGACGTGTGGGAATATTGCACCGTTTCCGGCTGATGGGACTTGAAGGCAGCAAACTGATGCTCGGAGCCTCGGAAAGTCCCAGCTGAGTTATGCACGTAGTGGTGGCCCAGACGGCGGTTATAAGCATCCGTGAATTTCGTTTCGTGCCTCCGGGGTTTGTAGCCGGAGTCCTGTCCGAAATGGTAGGCCGGCGTGGTCTGCCGGCTAGAGTAGGCAGAGTCTTGGGAAAAGGGAGTCCCCAGGCGTGGGGTCAGAGGCGTTCCTTGGGACTGGGGGGTGAACTGGCTGTAGGAGTTGGGCGTGTCCTGTCGACAACTAGAAAAGGCCGTGTCGTGGGAAAACGGGGTGCTGCTGTTTGGGGTGGTGGAGGATCCCGCCGAAGAAAGGCCGCTGTCCTTGAGCCGTTTCAGAGTGTCGGCCAGCTGCAAAAGAAGGGCAAGGAGAACCAGTTAGTAACAGGCGAGATCCACTAGAACTGGGGTGTCCAACATTGGCAACTTTTAAGACTTGTGGACTTCAACTCCCAGAATTCCCTAGCCAGCAAGTGCAAAATACGGGTCCTCATAGTGTAACTCCCCCCCCCCCCTTTATGTGGGGGTTGAGCTGTGGGTCTGGCTTAGCTGCCAACCCTGGTTGAATGGGCAAATGCTAAGTCTTCCTGAGGGTGTCACCCGACACGCACAAAATTTGCCTTAGATGCTGAGAAGGAAACGCAGACCCAGCACAAAACGTTCCTGACGCTGAAGCCACTCTTTCCTCTAATCTATTTATCTGTCTTTAAAAAAAAAAAAAAATACTGTGCAGAATTAAACACACTATTTATTTTATTTTTAAAAAAGCTAGGGCTTCCAATAATAAAATACTGAGAAGACACAGCAGGGCAAATGGCATCTTTCCAGATATGGATTATTAAGAACGAGAAGAGCAGCCAATGATTGCTGTCAATTAAAATTTACTTTGACGTCTTCAGTGGTTTCGTGAATCTGAAATTCAGAGCAAAATAAAATGGAAACTTTCAAAACCAGACTGACGCTAAGCTTTGCATGAAATATATGTAATGGAGTTTATGTGTGTACACACACACACATGCTGGATTTACTACCACAAGTAGGCCTGGCATTTCTGTTATAAAGTTTGAGTTGGAGGTGATTTTACGATTTTTATGGTGGCCGTTAAAGCGAAGCACATGGTCATTAACTGAATACAGCTTCCTCAATGGGAGGTTTTTTTTTTTTTACCGGAAATTGGCAAAAAAAAAGGGTTCCAAATCACGATTGCTGAACTGCAGGATGCTACAAATGGTGGTAAATGTGCACCAGTTGTCAAGTGCCCAAATTGTGATAACGGGGATAATGCAAGAGTTTTAAGTACAGAGTTTTGGTCGTTTGTTAGTTTTTCCAAGGCTATTGTAACTTTGAACTGTCATTAAACAGTCATAAGTCAAGGTCTACCTGTATACACACACGCACACAATCAACCCACTATATATATAGCCTATATATGTCTCATACAGTGGCAGCAGGAATCAGCCTTGAAACTAAAACATTGAGATATATATTGAAATAAATGGGTAAACCACCAAGTCACGATCAATAAAACCAAACCCTATAGAGAAACAGGGTCTGAGTATCTGTGGAGCCCTGGAAAAGGGTCTTAATATTATTTCCCACCATTAAGGGCCCCTGAATCTGGCTGTACAGCAGGAGAATTTGTATAAAGACCGGTGAGAAAGATCGCTCTGAAATTCCTTTGCTTTGTAAGGCAACCCAGATGGAGGTGCTTGATCAGAGTGGATTCCAAGCTGAGCACCAGGAACATGAAACGTCACTCTTAATTCTGGATAAATTACACTCTACAAACAGGAGGAGAAGGGAAAGGAAACGAAGTTGGGCAACTGTAACAGGTTTTTTTTTTAAAAAAAACCAACAACACAATGTTTCCTCTACCATTCTGAATAATGCCTGTGGAAGAAACACTGTTGTATTTTTAAAAAAAAAACATCCGCAGAAATTGCCAAAGTCAGTGATTGTGTATCCCAACAAGAGATGATGTTTCAAACAAGGGAACCACGTGTAGAAATTGCTCAACAGAGTTAAGAGTTCAGAGTACAGTTTTTGTTTTTTTTTAAATTCAAACTTCCAAAAGGCAGCCGGAAAGTAATAAAGGACACTGTCCCAGAGCAGCTGCTGGCTTTTTGCACACACTGGCCTGATCGAGTAAAATTATGCCGTTTAAGCAATTGGAGATTAAAGAAAAGGGAAGAAGGAGCTGAAAAGAGGCGTTTAAAATTCTAGGCAACAGGTGCTTCTGTCCAGGAGGGAGTCAGCTTCCCAGGAAACATATCCTGAACAAGAGTAGTTTTAAAATATTCATTTACATTCTTGCTAGACAAAAGTGAACACTCACGATGGATGGAAGCTCTTTATACTTAATTAAACACCGGTTTAATCTAAATGATTTACAAAAAGTTAGCCAATGGGATAAGAAATTCGGACTAAGAAAAAGCAAGCGACACCTCCAGGAAACACACCTATTTTTTGTTTTCTTAGCAACTTGTGGTGGCGTTTTGTACAACTGGCTTTCTTCGCATCCCTTGTCCAAATGTATAGGGTCAAACTTCAAAGATTAACACTACTTCAATTCAGTTATCTCTCTCCTGCCCAGATTTCAGATTCGGACTAGGTGACGTCTTAAGCGGCTCTCACAAACCTATTTCATGTGGAAACGTAGGTCCTCTTCCTCCTAACTAGGATGAATCTTTGTTTCGACCTGGGTACAGGGTGAAATCAAAGGTCCCTGCTTCAATCACTCAAAAGCAGACTTCTAAGATAAACAAGTCAAAATCCAATTTTATCGTGGTCAACTGGCCATGAGTAAAGAAATGGACATCAGGAACACGTTACGCTGTTAGAAAGTACGCTGTTAGTAAGTCTTCTGAGCTCCTGTCGCGCTCAACAGCTAGTAGTCAGAACAAACTCGGCAACTTACAAGATGGTTTCGACAAGTCAGTCATATAAGCGGTAAGTTCACATGAAATGTACAAGGCTACTCCGGATATTTTGAGAGTCAGTTGGACTGAGATGGGCAGATATAGAAATGGAATAAATAAAATAGAATGAATTCTGTTAGGGAATTTTATATGTACTCTAAATCAATGTCGAAGGTGGCCCCTTTAAGATGTGTGGACTTCAATGTCCAGAATTCCCCAGTCATGACTGGCGTCTATTCCATAGTTTGACTGCCGAAGGGAAGACCATAAACCTCAGTCATGTCCTTCTTGAGTCAGGCAGACAGACCAGTATACCCCAATCAAAGCTGGCGGTCAACAAAGCTCTTCTCAGCCCAGGTGCCAAGCCTGAAACATCACTTAAAATGGACCAAGTTCCAAACATACCTGCAGGCTCTCACTGAGGGTGGGTGATGCATCTTGTTCATTCTCCACTGGCAAAGTCTGCGGAGTGTAGAGCCCATTCACAAGGAGCTCATAAAAATGCATGCGCTTCTCACCTGGAGAGGTAATAAAATCACTGTTAAAGGAAACGGATGGGCAATGTCTAGAATGACCTAGAACCCTCGCTTTTGCCTTAAATGGAGAAAGCAACGGATCTGGGCTTTGGGGTTGTGCATTAGTGACCCCGGTTTGTGTGAAAATCAAGAGGGAGGGCATTATCTCCCTTTCCAGATGTCTAAATGGTAAAAAGAGTGACTGACAGTCAGCAAATCATGGCACAATGGTTCCTCTATTCATGGAGAAGGAAGTTGTCCTAATTTAATGGCGGCAATCTACCCCTTTATTCAGACCTAGCAGGTCCTGAATGTCGGTTGTTGAGAACAACAGGGGGAGAAGATTCATGAGAAGACAAGAGAATTAGGGAATAATCAGAAGCTTCATATCTGATTCTATGTCTTGCTTCTGAGCTTCTCCAAAGGGGCAACTAGATCAGCCTTGCTCTCTTCCCAAGTTCTGTTCTTGCAATCCCAGTGCAGCTGTATGAAGTTGCATGTACTCTGCCTGTCTGTCTTGGTTAATCTGATTGGAATTCTGCAGGAGAGGCCCACTGAACTGAAGTCTTCTTGGTCCACCAGTCACTCTTAGCCTCTACCCCACATTATCACACTCAATTATGTGACAAGATGGTGCGATTTCACTAGGCAGGTTACTATCTCAGTTACAAAAAAAAAATCAAAGTATCACTAGACAGGCCTTATTATTTCAGGATTAGCAACAACGACACTCGTACTATACCCTAACATACAAATTTCACCTTAAACGACTCATAGTTAAAGTTACAACACTTTAAGATCTCTGGGGTTATAGTCTTCAGAGGCCAACATTTAAACATTATGCACTCTCTTTAATACTGAACATCACACAATTAACTAAAAAGTATTGGATATGTCAGAATCCAAAAAGGAAACAATTATTTCAAAGGCTAGTAGTATTTATAGAGAAACCTAAAACTTTTTTATTAGCAGTAAGCAGTCAAAACGGGTGCAAAATACTAATGTGAGTTTTCATACAATAACAGCCTAAAGTTTCAAGCAATTAACTAAGAATTATGAAGATTTCACACTATTGTTTCCATTTAAAGCCAGAAAGACTTCAGGCTAGAATCACTCCTAAGTAAATTCTGTTTAACTCACTAGAATTACTTCAAACTAATAAAGTTAGGATTGGGCTGGACTGAAAATATTAAAGCTCAACTGATGTATCACAAAGTACTCAGGGCAAAGCTGAAATCACAGATGGTGGTATTGTTTATTGATTATATGCCTCTAGTCAGAATTAATGCAATGGTGCCTCAAAATGTTGAAAGTACACTCAATAGCAAAGCCGTCTACCTGACCTATATTTCCTCTTCACTGATCTTTCCCCCCCCTAATATGCATGTCTGAATCCTCATGTCACAATATGGGTGAAAAAAATGTTCTATTTCGTATGAAATTCAGTGAACTGGATCAAAGCTGTGTTCCAGCATTTAGCCCTGAAAACTGCACGCAGTTTCAAACTTTAGCACAAACGCTTTTAAAAATAAAGTATTTCAATTCACAAAAAAACCCCTCTTCTTTGTTTACATAGGCTTTTCAACCCTTTTACTCCAAAACGTAACATTTTCCCCTTCTTTTTAAATGGATTCTTCTCGTTCTCAAGGAAACAAATTTACATGCTATATATTAAAGTAACAAATTGATCAGAATGAGTGAAGTATGTCTGCAGGACGCAAAGAAGAGGAGGAAAAAGCAGCAAGAAAAAAATAAAACTATTTTTTATCCATTTAGGAATTATAGAAACCATTCCATTCATCCTTAGTTGCTTTGCTTATGCCTAGCAGGGCCAGCACTCCAGACTCTGAACTCCGAAGAAATAAGGGCACACTGTCTCTTTAAGAGACAAAGCAAGACAGATTTTTGCAGTCCCCTTTAAAAATATATTGATTTCCACAGTAAAGCAACAAGATAAAAGGAAGGGCTGTGCTGTAATCCCCCTTGCAGGGGATAAACCTTCCAGATTATTTTCTCAGACGTTTTTCCAAAGGGAATTCTTCCACCCCCTACCATCCTTTAAAGGCAAAGCATACTTTGGGCCCAGAGGTGCAAGGAAAGGGTGGGGAGGGGGCAGTGTAGCAAGCAGTGGGTCAGCAAAAGTGAGGGACTGAATGAGTGAAAGTGAGTGGATGGCAGCATTTGCTAAATTACAGGCCTGTCTCTTAGCAACCAACAACACATTCAACTCCACGTGACAACCAAAAGCCCAGAAAAGCAAGGAGACACAGGGGTATGTGTGTGTGTGTGTGAGAGAGAGAGGGGGGGGGGGAAGTGACAGCCATTTAACAGTCTCCCCCTTTTAATTAACAGCCCTCCCCGAGATCTGCAAATGAACCCCCCCCTCCAGGACTGGAGCAAAAGGTAAGGGAAGAAAACAGTGCAAGATGGAGGAGAGGATTGCATCCACGGGTCCCCACCTTTTGTATCCAGCTGCACGTGGATGATATTCCCCATAACGGAGGTGTTGTGCAGGTGCTGGACGGCTTCCCGGGCGCCTTTGACGGTGGCAAAGATGACTTTGGCGATGCCCAGGTGCTTCCTGTTCTTGGGGTTGTACAAAATCTCCACTTCTTCCACCTCGCCGTATTTTTTGCACATGTCAGTCAGGAAGTTTTCACGGATGTTGTCGTTCAGCTTGGCAAACGTGACTTGCTTGGGGGGCACGGGCCCCACATAAAACTCATCAATCTGGGGGTTTATTTCACAGGAGGGGGGAGGAGGAGGAGGAGGCAGGGCCCATAACATGGGGACGGGGAGGGAGGGGGGAAGAAGAGGAAGGGGAAAAAAAAAAGTGACGGGAGTCAGGTCAGTCAGCGGTTTGGTGGGAAAAATGAAAGTTTAAAGCGCTTCTCTTCAACGGGAGAGCATTTCCCCCGTCCTCTTATGCGAGCCTTCAATGAAAACTCCCACGCTGCTACCCCCTTGGGCATGCCTTGTTTACACAACAACTGACAATCTGGAAAGCCTCAGTCCAGCCAACTTTTGACAAACAGCCGCTCAACTTCTACACCTGGCTGTCTTTGACTACGGCACTACTACACTAATTGCTCAGCAAACAAGAAAGCCCGAAGAGTAGGTTACGGGCGACTTCAGCCAAGAGTAGCAGCAGCACCACCGCTGAGCCTCTCTACCTTAAATTTTGGGACGGAGAGTTCCAGTTCTTTCGTTTTGGTCCAGATGCGCCCTATCCTGGGATCCTCCACGCACTCCACGGGGGCCAGACTGGGATTCTGCAAAAATAATAATAAAAATAAATAGAAAAACAGCACGGGGGATGTCACTCACCTCCAGAAAAGCCAGCAGGTAGCGATCCAATCCTTGCCAGCAGGGCAAAAAACTTTACCCTGCAGGACTGCAAAGCAAGGAAGCTGAAGGACAGGCTGATTTTCTTTAAGGGGGGGGGAGGATTTTAGATGCCACTGGGGATAAAGGAGCTGGGGATCCCCCAGCCAGCAAAAGAAAGCTGCAGTTGTTTTGTTTTGTTTTTTCCTCTGACAGGCTACATTAGGTCAGGGGGTGTAACCTCAAGGTTTGCAGGTTGTTTCCTAGCAAGCTTTCCCTCCCCCAGGACATCAAGAAAGCTCTTTGCTCTTCCCTAGAAAGAGGATCACTGAGGTTTCCAAGCAGATTTGGGGGGGGGGGGGGGGTTGGAAGAAAAAAGGGGGGGGAAGGCATACATGCATGGGTAGCTTTCTGCTTTCTTTTTTTCCCCCTTGTCCCCCAGGGGATCCCCCTTACAGGAATGCTGAAGTGCTGCCCATCGTAGCGGTAGAGTTTGTGCTGGCCTTTCTTCAGCGCCGGGTCAATAATCAACTTGTAACTTTTCCAGTGGTGGTTTTTCTTCTCGGCCGAGGGACCCGCCGGGCCGCTCTCCATGCCGTTGATCCAACCTGAGGAGGGGGGGGGGAGAGGAAGGATGAGCCCCAGAGTTAGAAAGAAAAAAAAGACAGGAGAGGAAGAGGGAGGAAGAGGAAGGAAGGAGGGCAGAAGGAAGAGGAGGAAGGGAGCCGGGGCCCCCTCCGCCTCGCAGCCCCGGCCAGCCGGGGAGAAGCGGCGCTGCTGCTGCTGCTGCTGCTGCTGCCCCATCGGGGCCACCGGGGGAAGGAAGGAAGGGAAGAAGGCAGGCAGGCAGGGGCAGCGGCGCTCACTTGAACTCAGTTTGCGGACCGGGTCCTCGCTCGGCTTGGCTCGGTCCGCCGCCGCCGCCGCCGCCGCCGCCTTGCTCTCTTTGAAAGACATTGTCCGCCGGGCCGATCGTCCGTCCGTCCGCGGGCCGGGAGAGGCCGCCGCCGCCGCGCCTCGGCCTCGGCCGCCGCTCCTCCTCCGCCTCCTCCTCCTCCTCCTCCTTCACACGGGGCCGCGGGCTCCCTTCCGCGGGGCCGGGGCGCCTCCTGCCGCCTGGGCGCTTTTTCTCCTCTTGGCGAGCCAGCACATATTGTGTGTGCGCGCTGCCCGCCTGCCTCCTTCCTTCGGCGGCTGCTCAGGCATCCCACAATTCTCCGCCAGGGAGCTGGGCGAATGGCTAACCGCCCTCCGCCGAAGGCACATTCACGGCAGCTGCGCCGCGCCGCGCAGCCCCCCCCGGCCCCGCCGCCCCCGCGCGCCCCGCNAGGGGCCCGGGCGGGCTCAGCCAATCGGGGCGCCGCTTGCATCGGGCTGGCGTTATTAGAGGCGGCGCGCGGGGCGAGCGGCGCAGACGGCCGAGGAGAGGCGGCCGGAGTGGAGCGGGGGTGCGCGCGCTCGCTCGGCCATGTTTTTCTGCAAAGGGAATGAAACTGGCCAGCTGGGTTTGCCTTTGTTCGCGGGCGGCCGGGCCGGGCCAGGAGCGTGCAATGCTCGGCCGCCTTTAGAGGACCCCGAGGAAGGAGGAAGACGTGATAAAAAGCTGGATTGTTTTTTTCTCCCCATCTTGACTCGGAGCCCGTCCTGCTCTCGTGTCTAACTAGGTCATGGCACGCCCTTCACGCCAGCAAGTCCCAGTTTTGCATGACCAAACAAAGTCAATCACACGCGTCTTTTGATCTTTTTCTTTTTTTCTTTTTGGAAAGCGCTGGCTTCTCTCGTCTGAAGTGTACATTCCGAGATAAGTCCGAAACACTCTTTAAAAAAAAAAAAAGTAACTTGGCCATCTTTTAAAAAAAGTGTAATTCCTTCCGTGCTAACAAGGTAAAGCTATAGAGGTAGGCACCGTGAGATTCTTGCAAAACAGGCAGGATCTTTTCTTTTTGTCCTTTTACATTGTAAGTACCCGATCCATTCTGTCCTTAATAAGTGTAGTTTTCATGTTAATGTTAACTGCAGTTCTCCTGGTTTATTTCTTTCAGGCTTCATCTGCATGTCATGATATATCTATATAATATCTATATATCTATATATTTGTCTTGTTATCTAAACCAATTGCTTCTGAAGGCTTATAGAGATGCGTGAGATGTAACTTAACCAGGCGTAGCCACACTAACATGGACAGATCGGGCAGGATTTGATCATGTTTGTTTTTTTTAAAGATGGTGGGGCGTGGGGGGGGGGGCAGGAAAGACCACGCCGTTGTCTCGAGGTGCGGCGTAAATCGCGAAACGTAGCAGCTTAAGGCAGCCCAAGTTGGCCGGAGTCAAAATCCGTAAGATGTCTGAACCGCCCCCCCCCTTCCTTGCTTCTAATTATTTGGGTTTGGTTCTGTTGTTTTTAGCCATAGCCATGACTGGAGATTTGATTTGCAAATTCGCGGCAGATCAGGGAGCGCGTAACCAACATTAAGCAATAATGGGCTTTTTTCCGCCCTTTTATATGCCCCAACCGCCCCCCAACTTCACCTCCAGACCTGCGTCAGGAATGGTGTGCGGGTAAGTAAAGCGTTCGCCCTCGCAGTGGAAGGAGGAGAGAGCAGGCCTCGCTCTCCCTCTGCGACAAAGGGGCTCCTCCAGGACGGAGAGCAGAGCTCTTCTCAGTTCGGGGAGGGGGCAACCGTCGCTAACGATCGGGGGCTTGGAGGGGGGGGCAGATCGGCCGCCAGAAGCCGGGTCCTTCCTTGTCTTCCATCTTGCCCAAAGAAAGCGCTGGGCTTGAGCCGGAGGGGCTGCTCTGCGGCTCCAGGCGGGTTTCAGAGAAGCTGCCAAGCGGCTGCCCTTGAAAATCAGGCTGGGGGGGGGGGAGCTTTTTTTCCTTCTTGCAAGCTGGGAGGTTGGCGTCCTGCAGAAAGATGGTTTTTGTGTGTGTGTGTGTGTGTGATTTTGCTGAATGCTTTTCCTTTTCCAAGCAAGAGATCCGGTGATCCGCAGTAATGGAAGCGACTGGGTGTTGCTCAGCTGCCCCCCCCTCCCCGCCACCCAGTGCAGGATGCGAGGAAGAGAAGCAAAATGGAGTTTGGCCGGTTCTCTGTGCAGAGACGGGCAGGCTGGAGCCCTGCCGGATGGGATGGGATGGGATGGGGGGGGGACGGTGCGCGAGGCTGGCTCCCAGTGGGATTCTTTGTCTGCCTTCTCTCCTTTTCTGCCTTGCAGGAGCTACTCCGAGGGGCTTTTTGGGGAGCCCGGACAGACCCCTGATCGGGCCCGGCCTCTCCCCTTGGACGGAGCGGGGAGGAAGCAGAGATGCCTCGCCTTCCCCTCGCTGACTTGCAGGCGGGGGGGGGGGGNAGGGGCCCGGGCGGGCTCAGCCAATCGGGGCGCCGCTTGCATCGGGCTGGCGTTATTAGAGGCGGCGCGCGGGGCGAGCGGCGCAGACGGCCGAGGAGAGGCGGCCGGAGTGGAGCGGGGGTGCGCGCGCTCGCTCGGCCATGTTTTTCTGCAAAGGGAATGAAACTGGCCAGCTGGGTTTGCCTTTGTTCGCGGGCGGGCGGGCGGGCGGGCGGGCCGGGCCAGGAGCGTGCAATGCTCGGCCGCCTTTAGAGGACCCCGAGGAAGGAGGAAGACGTGATAAAAAGCTGGATTGTTTTTTTCTCCCCATCTTGACTCGGAGCCCGTCCTGCTCTCGTGTCTAACTAGGTCATGGCACGCCCTTCACGCCAGCAAGTCCCAGTTTTGCATGACCAAACAAAGTCAATCACACGCGTCTTTTGATCTTTTTCTTTTTTTCTTTTTGGAAAGCGCTGGCTTCTCTCGTCTGAAGTGTACATTCCGAGATAAGTCCGAAACACTCTTTAAAAAAAAAAAAAAGTAACTTGGCCATCTTTTAAAAAAGTTTAATTCCTTCCGTGCTAACAAGGTAAAGCTATAGAGGTAGGCACCGTGAGATTCTTGCAAAACAGGCAGGATCCTTTCTTTTTGTCCTTTTACATTGTAAGTACCCGATCCATTCTGTCCTTCTTAATAAGTGTAGTTTTCATGTTAATGTTAACTGCAGTTCTCCTGGTTTATTTCTTTCAGGCTTCATCTGCATGTCATGATATATCTATATAATATCTATATATCTATATATTTGTCTTGTTATCTAAACCAATTGCTTCTGAAGGCTTATAGAGATGCGTGAGATGTAACTTAACCAGGCGTAGCCACACTAACATGGACAGATCGGGCAGGATTTGATCATGTTTGGTTTTTTTAAAGATGGTGGGGCGTGGGGGGGGGGGCAGGAAAGACCACGCCGTTGTCTCGAGGTGCGGCGTAAATCGCGAAACGTAGCAGCTTAAGGCAGCCCAAGTTGGCCGGAGTCAAAATCCATAAGATGTCTGAACCGCCCCCCCCTTCCTCGCTTCTAATTATTTGGGTTTGGTTCTGTTGTTTTTAACCATAGCCATGATTGGAGATTTGATTTGCAAATTCGCGGCAGATCAGGGAGCGCGTAACCAACATTAAGCAATAATGGGCTTTTTTCCGCCCTTTTATATGCCCCAACCGCCCCCCAACTTCACCTCCAGACCTGCGTCAGGAATGGTGTGCGGGTAAGTAAAGCGTTCGCCCTCGCAGTGGAAGGAGGAGAGAGCAGGCCTCGCTCTCCCTCTGCGACAAAGGGGCTCCCTCCAGGACGGAGAGCAGAGCTCTTCTCAGTTCGGGGAGGGGGCAACCGTCGCTAACGATCGGGGGCTTGGAGGGGGGGGGATCGGCCGCCAGAAGCCGAGTCCTTCCTTGTCTTCCATCTTGCCCAAAGAAAGCGCTGGGCTTGAGCCGGAGGGGCTGCTCTGCGGATCCAGGCGGGTTTCAGAGAAGCTGCCAAGCGGCTGCCCTTGAAAATCAGGCGGGGGGGGGGAGCTTTTTTTCCTTCTTGCAAGCTGGGAGGTTGGCGTCCTGCAGAAAGATGGTTTTTGTGTGTGTGTGTGTGTGTGTGATTTTGCTGAACGCTTTTCCTTTTCCAAGCAAGAGATCCGGTGATCCGCAGTAATGGAAGCGACTGGGTGTTGCTCAGCTGCCCCCCCCTCTCCCGCCACCCAGTGCAGGATGCGAGGAAGAGAAGCAAAATGGAGTTTGGCCGGTTCTCTGTGCAGAGACGGGCAGGCTGGAGCCCTGCCGGATGGGATGGGATGGGGGGGGGACGGTGCGCGAGGCTGGCTCCCAGTGGGATTCTTTGTCTGCCTTCCCTCCTTTTCTGCCTTGCAGGAGCTACTCCGAGGGGCTTTTTTGGGAGCCCGGACAGACCCCTGATCGGGCCCGGCCTCTCCCCTTGGACGGAGCGGGGAGGAAGCAGAGATGCCTCGCCTTACCCTCTCTGACTTGCAGGGGGGGGACAGGGAAAGATGGTGGCCGTTTTGCAGCCAGCCAGGCTCCCCCCCCCCCCCCGCCTGCTCTTCTGCTGAGCACTCCAGGGGGAGAGGCGAGAAGAGCCGGGTTCTTTAGGCAGCAGGCTGTGCCCTTCTATGTCTCTCCAGCAGCAGCACTCCCTGGCACGGCTGGGCAGGCAGCCTCTCCCCCCCCCCCTTGCTGGCAGCCGAGGGAGAGGGTTGCTCAGTCATGGCGGTGCTGCCTGCCTGCCTTCCTCTGCTTCTGCAGGCGGCTGGGCGAGGGGTGGGGAGGACTCGCCCTGAGCTCCTGCCTTGGAAGCTCCAAGCTGGGTGTTGGCGGAGTTGCTCAGCCTCTCCTCCCCCAGCCCTGACCCCTAGGAAGGGTGAGCTCAGCCATGTTGGAGGAGCAGCAGGAGGAGGAGGAACAGCAGCTGCAGCGAAGGCAGCCGTGCCCTCTTGTCAGACCAGAGCGGGCTTCTTCCTGCTGGCATCTGCCCACTTGGCAGCGGGAAGCCTGTGCCAGGCGTAGCCCGGCTGAAGCCACTCGCTTCCCTTGGTTTGCAGGGCCGAGATCCAGAGTAAGGACAGG